TTTAATGTTTAAGTCCGTACAGCTCTATTTCTAAATAACATTAGGTTACTTTTTTCTACATTTATTAAAAGATTATTAGATGTAAGCCAATCGACAATAGAATTTAGTGCAGAATTTACTTCGTCCTCAAGTGATGTATAATTTTTATTAGAAAATACGGCGGTGGTGCCATCTGCAAAAAGAACCATTGGAAAAGTCATTGCGTTTGGAAAGTCATTTATATATACAAGAAATAAGAGTGGCCGTAAGACACTTCCCTGGGGTACACCAAACGTCAATTGTCTATAGCCCGAAACAAACTCAACTTCTTTTTTTGTGGTCCAATCGAATTTTGTTATCACAGTGGCTTGTTCCCTATTACTTAGGAACGACGTTATCAGACACAACGCATTGATCCCTTATCCCATAGGCATAGAGCTTTTGTTTTAGTATGTCATGATCAACGTAGTCGAAGGCTTTGGTTAAGTCCATATATAAAGCACAAACAGGTGTTTTATTATCAACACTGACAGTTACCATTTTTAAGGAATTCGTAAATTGCTATGTTAATATTTTTGCCTTTCCTTAATCCCGTTTGTTCGTTCGCTAATATATATGTATATGTATTATATTTTTCAAAAAAGTTGGTAAAGTTATTATATATATTTTTTTCTAAGATTTTTGAGAATATTAGAATTAGTGCAATAGGTCTGTAACATGACATAATTTCTGTGTTGTTTTTTTTTTAAAATAGTGGCTTAACAATAATAGTTTTTTTAGTAATTTTGGGAAATGGCCGTGATATAAACAAAGATTGTAAACATGACATAAAACCGGACTTATAACATCATTGACCTCCTTTAATATCTTTGTTGAGATTCCATCATAACCTGTGCTATTTGTATTCTTAAGTAATTTGATTGTTTTAAATATGTCAGGGGGAGTAACAGGATTAATAAGTATTGAATTATTATTATAAGAATGCTTATGTGTCATCTTAAGTTTAAAATTATTATTAGCATTAACTAATAATATAGATACGAGATACGAGAGAACTGCTGTACCATTCATCAGGTATGGCTTCTTCCTGCAAGAATTTATTGAAGAACAAAGCCAAGCACACCCTTCCATCTACTCTTAAATAACTGCAACACCTCAACTGGTATTCTATCTGGGCCAGTGGCTTTACCATTTTTCATTCCATTCACTGCTACCCTGACTACCTCCACACTAACCCCACATTCACTGGTTTATTCTCTAAAACCCCACCTCAATTATTTTCCTCATTCATAAGCCTTTCAAAATATTCCTTCCACCTCTCTTTGATTTTGTCGTTATCTGATAGAACTATTTCACTTTCATCTCTTACCTAATTAAGTTAAGTTCTTACCTAATTCTAGTTACTTTTATTTTTATAGTATCGCAAGTATGGAGAGAAACCAACGAAATTGGAGCTGTTCCAGTTCGTGTCGGCAAAGTTATTCTTTTGTCACGCTGTGGTGTCTAACCGTATACTGCTCAGAGTATCGTTGAAGATACCCAGGCGAAGAGTATTAACGATTACCGCGCCACACTAAGGAGTAATAGGCATTCAAACCAGCGTACTCCTTCTTAAAAGGCCAGCAACGCACCTGTGACTCCTCTGGTGCTGCAGGTGTCCAAGAGAGGCGCCGATCGCTTACCATCAGATGATTCGTCTGCAAGTTTGCCTCCTATTCCATACAAAATAATCCCCGCCTGAAGATCAGCTGTGGTGACAATAATGTTCTACTTTACGTTACCACACACCACACAAATTTGAATGTGGCGGGATCGGTGTACAAGGTCGTCATGTAATGTAGCGGGAACGGAGCGATAAATTAATAGGCTTGTAGTCTGCTGAAAAGACATTTAATGACTGTTTTACATAACCTACACTGATACTTTATAACTAACACCCCACTAAACAGTGCAACGACTGTTTACTTATATTGTTTAAGATTGAACAGGTGCGGGCAAAACCATCTTGACACTTTATTATTTGTTTTTCCACAGAGGACAGTTATTTAGAACAATTACCTACTTTTTTCAGTACACAAGGAGCAGTGTAACATAGTATAACGAGGCGTGTAAATTCACTTGTAGGGGGGTATCTATAGGAACCAAGCGTACGGCGCGTAGCATTGAGCGCGCGCCTCAAAATGCCAAATTTTGAGTCTACGTGCAAACTGGTTTATCCGGATAGCCATGACCCACTGGGACGCAACGATCGCACGATCCCCATATAAAACCTCCGACAGGAGGCGTTTGGCCCCCCCCAGGCTGGGTAAGACCCGCTTGAGCGCGGCCCCACTCCGTTCCAACTTAGGAGCCAAACGACGGAAATGCTCCGTGAAGTTTCACCGGCTGTCGAGGACGAGAACAAGTTGAGGGCGTTGGCGATGTCCAATGATACCCCCACGACGACTCGCCCCCTAGCCAGCGCAGTCCCCGTCGTAAGGTCCCTCACGCGCGTGATGGCGTCCACCGTGGAGCGCTCCCTGCGGAAGCCGAACTGGCCGTCCGCTAAATCCGGCCCCTTCCAGACAGGTGCCCGACGAGGCGGTCTGAGATTATCCTCTTTAACAGTTTTCCCACCTCGTCGAGCAGTACAATGGAGTCTGCAGGACGCCCCGGCTTCTTCACGAGGACCAGTTTACCTGTCTTCCACGACAACGGAAACCGGCCCCTCTCTATGCGCTGAACAGACCAATTAGTCGAGGCCTGAGAGCCTCCGAGGCCAGGACCCAAACCTTGGCATGCAGCTCGCTAGGCCCTGGGGCGGTATTCTTGGCACAGACGGAGCCCTACAGGGCCAAGCAGTAGTTACGGGGCAAGCGCAATAAGGTACCGCACCGGTACTTTTATTCATTAAAAGTCTTACACTCCCTCTCGCCTCACCTTGGGCGAGAGAAGTCATTTGATGATGTTCCAATCACTTTAAAGAGTGGTAGAAAACTTTAAAATATATAATCCAATTTGTGATAACAAAACAAAGATTGTCATAATTCATTTCATACTTAGGTACAAAACGAATAGAGTTTAATTGTTTAATAAACTGCTAACAAATAGACATGAAAATAGGCAGTGCCGTTATTATTAAGAAGCACATCATTCCAACTACGCCGACGCAGCAAACAAAATATTATGTTGATCCCATCATTACACTGGCTCGTTGCAATAAACATTAGCATAAAATTACCTTTAAAAGTGATATATTTAAACAACGCATTAGCATAATACGAGACTGACTATAGAAATTAAATCACAATGTAAATCCCTGTAATATCATTCGCGTTGCGCTTGCCCAGCCTTTTCCAGAAAGTCCCTTTTTATGTTTTCACTTTATTGTGATACGACAAGTCCGCCATTACAGAAATAGCTGAGAGACTAAAAGGATAATTAAATTGTGAAAATGTTTTCCACGTTATCCGGCATTGCTTTATTTTGAGCACTGAGTAAAGTATACATTTTGTTTATCCGACACCCTCTTAATACCAGGGATTTAGTGAAGTATTATGATTGAGTTTACTGTGCAGCACTTAGGAGCTCGCATTTAGGAATCGTAGTGTTCTTTCTAAATTTTAGTAAGCATATATCCTAATATCTCTTTTAAATTGGTATTCATATTCAAACGAATCATTGACTAAATTATTAGCATGGCTAAAACATTTGTTCAAAAAGTCTTTTTCATTCCAAAGTGACTGAAAGAGTAAAAAAAGTATCAAGTAATGAAGTCAATAATACCATCATGCCATTTTGGGAGAGCCATGCTTCAGTACAGACACGACCAGAGTGATACCGGGGGACGCCGAAAACCGTAATCAACAACCCTTGTAATGTGATTCTGGCTGGCAACGCGGTCGTCTATACATGAAACGTCCTATCCCATAAAAACAATGTACAAACTATTAATGACATAGTTACTTCAGTACCTACAGAATGTAAAAAAAAACACGAACAACATAATTTCAATTAAACTTTATTCATACATATCGAGTTGTATTAGGTATGAAAAGTTTCATAGGTATACTTACGGATTTAGTTATCTTTATCAACACATAATACCAATATATCTTTTATCAAGTAAATTGTGTAGGTAAACATATGTAGATACGATGAACAAAATTAAAATTGCCAATTTGTCAAACCAAGGTAGTCAAGATTACTTTTACAACCAAGTTTAGTTACCTAAACAAGTTATCGTCCCAGAAAAGAATAAATCGTCATTTCAGTACAACATGATTAATCATTAATTAATACAGGTTATGAGTGTGTACCTAATAAAAACGTATTTTACAATACTTATTAAGAAAGATAAAATTTAATAAGTAAAATGAAAGTAAATTCTTAATGCCCAAAAAAATTACAAGAAAGATTATAAGCAAATTACATTAGCTGAGACAGACAACAAACTGGGGTACGCATTAAAATCTTTGGCAAAGCCGGGATCTTAATTTAATCCGTATTTAAGCCTTTTATGAGCATCCTTGTATTTCTTAAAACAATTAAATTTTGTTTCCTATCTACGTAAAGTAATGAGAAGAGAAGTTTTCTCAAAGGCTTAAACATGGCTGTCCCCTTTCCGTACGGATTAGCTAAACTATTTCGTTACTGCTACCCTCCTGTTATATTTGTTGTTTAAATAATAAAAGGATAAAACAGGTAAGCTCTGCTTATTAGTTAAAAGTTTTTTTTTTTTTTTTTTTTTTTATTACTAGAACAGTGATCTTTATCGTATTTAAAATTGTTAAGCTAAAGTTAAAGACTTTTTTATAGTCATGTCAAATACGGTGTTCAAAAATATCGTAAAAATATTAAAGCTAGCTAAATCTCTTTCTCCACTTTACCTTCCCTTTTAACACCTTCAACAATACAAGTAATAAAAACAAACTTGTATCATAATTCAAAGGGACCAGTCTCTCCCTGAATAACAATGCGATGAAATTTATTAATCAATGAACAGTGGATTTATATTTCTTCAGAAAGATCCCCAAGGTAGGTACTACCTAAACTTTCAAAATTCGAAATGATTTGCAGACTCCGGGAAATGTACGTACAGGAAAATATCAATTTGCTTTGATAATTAAGAAAGAAGTCGGTTAATTAATAAAAACGTTTTGGTAGGATTATTTTTTATAATATAATAACTAGTACATACATATTTACATATCACAATAATATCACACATTTGAGCTTACTTTTTTATGTCATAACAAGATTTTGATGGGTCTAAAAACACGTCTAAAAGTTCTTGGTCGTATACTTTTTCTTCTTCATTATTATAATTCAGGGCTTCACATACACGACATAGATGATAAGATTTCGTGCCAAAATAACCATGTTCATTGATGACTTTGAAATGATTTCTCCACATATGCATCGATATAAGGAGATCAGTGTTTGATGCTATAGTCTTAATTTCCTTAGCTAAATTTTCTATATTCGTCTCCTCGTCAGCGAATATGTACGAATTTGGTGGCAACAAGCTCTGTACGTCTTCACGAGACGGTCCAAAAATAATTGGTATTGCGCCTTTCGAGTAAGCATGGTAAAATCCCTTCTCAGTCAAGTATTGATAACAACTTGTATTCTCTAACACTAGGTAAAATAAGTAATTTGCTATCGGGTCGCAATCCGATCTAAAATGTCCAGGACAACTGAAAGAAAATAACATTTCAATTAATATTAGTTAATAGGATTAAAACGTATAGAGATTCTCAGCTGTGCTCAGTATCGATATTTTTTGGTTGGTCAGGAATTGACGTATTTATGGCAATTCAAGTTCTATCGTTGTCCATTTAGACAGTTTAAGTGCTAATAGGCCGAAGAATTTTTTCCCCAATAAATAGGACTAATGACATGATTGGTTCTAATTACATTATTGAGGAAAGATGTACGGTACCATCTCATCATAACATCTCTGTTTAGGTACCTACATCATGCGGGCAACCTTGAAATATTATAGAGTTTAAGCAGTAAAATTTTAGATGTTATTTATAAATTTGGAAGACCCATGTTTTGGTAAAAATGGGCGTAATGACGGGCCACAGAATATAATAATAAGACAAGCTAGCGTTGTGTTTTGCCTTGTGAGTCAGGTTACTGGAGGCCCAAAACTCTCCAAGCCCTAATCCAAAATCCCCATTCCCTAAAGTCATAAAAGCCAACATCTGGAGGTGCGGGCGTTCATAGGCGATGACAATTGCTTACTATCAGGTGATGGTTACAAACGTTTGCTGCCTAACTCATAAAATAAAAAGAGTGTTGCTAAGAATCAAGCCCCAGATACGATCCTCAGTGACTTTTACCATATATCCTCCCCTTCGTTATTAAATACAATAAAAGAGCAATTTTGCACGTCAATATTACTTATAGAGATATATTTAAATCTAGATGAGGTCACTATTTCCTGTTAGTACTTAGTACTAAGTTCAGAAGAAATTACAAAACAAACTCAGAAAATTGAAGGCATCAAATTTATCTTTGGTTTGTCTTACCCCATTTGAAGCTCTTTATTGTCCGAACATTTTCCATACACATCTACGTCGATGTGTTTCTTTAATTTTTTTAAGAAATTATTTCTAGCTTTCGCCGCACAATTTGACATTAGCACTGCAGCTGTTTTGTTTCTGCTTTTTCGATCCCAGTTTGGTATCAATGCAGTGAGTTCTGATAACGTGTTATATTCACTTAAGACGGGTTTTGGCAATACAACAGTACGGCCATACGGTACTGGTACGTCAGCGTCGCTCCTGGAAAAAGAAAACTATAGATAAGCAGTCTTGGTAGAAGAATCTTTTTATTTTAAAAAGTCAGTTTGGGAGATTTTCATTCCTAGATCAACCTAGGTACATACATGTTTATAATTGTTTTTGTATGTTGTCTTATTTTGCCGCAATAAAGTGCTGAATAAGTGTTTTTCTTTCTTTCTTAATATAAATTACCTATTAAATACTTATATAACTCTTTAGGTTATAAGTTTTTTTAAATGTCAATATTTTTTTATATGAAGATTTTTAACAGAATTATAACAAATAATAAATTACATTTGAAATAAAAACCAGTTCGTAGCTACAGTTAGAATTTTATTATTTAATTATTCGGACATAACATTAAAGGAACATATTCGTTTCGTTTACTAATTAACAAATAAAAGAACTTAATCCAATTATATAAAATTCACTTTACAACTAAGTATAATGTACCTAATTGTATAATGTGTATATACTGTAAATAACACTGTTGTTAATTAAAAAAATAAATAATAAAAATTAGAATTTCTCAAATCCCCTATCCTTAAATCCCTAATAACCAACAAGACCAATGCACTTGTGGTAATTCCTATTATAAGTGTCGGCGGCGCCGATTGCTTACCATCATCTATCTGATCGTTTGCAGATCTACAACAAGACTGAAAAAAAAAATGTCAAGTACCTACCGATAAGTCATAGACCAATTGAATACACCGTATAGACTTTCCATACTAGGGGCACGTCCGGCTAATGTGAACGCATGCCTTGGAGATTCATCGTTCAAAAATATCCATCTTTGTTTAGGGTTTCTATTTTTCACTTCTGGTACCAAGCCCCTTTGTATGTGAACGAGGACTGCGTCCGCTGTGTCAATGATGTTGTCGTCACCAGAAAATATACAATTTTTCACACTGCAACCCTCCAAAATGTCGTTTGTTTTTCTGTGGGCAATACAATGCTTATTTTAATCATTATGTTAGATAACGTTTCTGCGGGTTGCGATAATTATTGTACAATAACGAAAAGATGTTTTCTGTGAATCGCATTAAAATTTTCACCGAATAAAAAAAAGAAACAATATTTTTTGAGGTTTTCTAGGGTATACACTATCACTATTGAATCTATACTATTATTAAAAAGAGGTATTTGTAAGTTTGTATGTAGGGGGCAATCTTTGGAACCGCTGGTCGGATGGCCAAAATTCTTTCACTGATAGATAGCTACTATGTTCCTGAGTGCTATAGGCTAAAACAGACGCGCTACGATCAAACATGGAGCCGAGCAGCGGGTGGAACTGCGCGAGAGTAGCTAGTAGTTAATATTTTTACCAAACCCTACATAGGCAATACGAATCGTACTTTGCCGCTTTTTATTTAGGTTTTTTTAACTTTCTAAATCACATTTTTATGTGTGATTTCGTGCCCATGATTTATCTTTTGTCCCTCTTGTAGATGACTCGGTACATGAGTATAAACTCGTGTGTAGTCTGGTAATTTATGATTACACAAATGATACGCATTACACACGTAGCGTACACAATTCGACATAAACATACGTGAGTGGCGTTTCAAAACGAGATTTGTTCCACAGCAATGAAAATACTGGAGCTGAATAGGCTCAATTTTTTCAACTAACAAAATTCTAGGGTATATGACACCGATCAATATCTTTATCGTATTTTGTCCAATATTTAGTGTAACATAAATAGAGTATAGTCACTAAAAAAAATAACTTTTTTTTATGTAATAGGTCGGCAAACGAGCAGACGGATTACCTGCCTGATGGTAAGCAATCAGCGCCGCCCATGGACACTCGCAACGTCTACGTCAACGATTAGGGATTTGGAGATTTAGGGATTGAGGAGGGATTGGGGAAGGGGACGGATTGGGCCTCCGGTAACCTCACTCACACGGCGAAACACAACGCAGTGGTTATTTCACGCCGGTTTTCTGTAACTTATTAAGTAGTTTCTTCTCATCCCTTATACATAGTTCACACTCGGCGCCCAGAGACCTAGACTGGACTCTCAAACAAAGGACAGGCAAACTTCGTCAACTTTTGGCTACTATTTGATAAGTAAAAGATATTTCTAGTTTTGTACAGTCACGAACAGACAAAAACAAAATTTTGTATTATTTTTTTACCTCAACAGTGGCGTCTCAATATATCTTTTATGAATTAGGTACGAGCTCTTTTGTTTAAAAAAAGCGACGTAGTCTCCATTTTCGCATACCTTCATCAACATTAAATAATGCCATGCACTATTTATTTGCATTTCTTTCATTATTTTCTTCCTTTTATTTAAGGATTAGAAATTCCGAGGCCGAAATTGCATTAAAACCTACTAGAAAATCTTGTAGATAAAAAAAAAACAATAGACTATAACGTATGTATTACGTACCCTGATTTTCCAAAGTTAAACACATGTCGCTGTTTCAGCCAACCCCAATATTTCCAGACCAACACGACGTATTGCCTTTTCGCGTTAGGATTTGGGTTTGGTATTGGATCTCCATGGAATAATATACCCCCTAATACGGAGGTGGGCCAGGTCTGAGAAATAAAGAAATTAATTATTAGTTACTTCAATTTTAATAGACAATCGATAATAAAACCGACTAAGAGATAGAATACCTTTCTTCGGGAATCATCAACCCATAATCCTTGGTTCTAAAATCAAAATAATTGCCAAATTGATATCTATACATAGAATACATATATTATGTATACGAATTATTAACTTGTGAGTGGTATGACAATAGGTGATTATTTTCTGTTTTTTTTTTCAAAACATGCATATTGAAGCGACTTCAAATGTGCATAAAAATATACAATTTTTATTTAACAAACTGTCTCTATAATGTGGTGTTTACACAGATGACTTAAGTTAATTTTGTTGTACGAACATTTTCAGAAGAAAATATTCGCGCACACAAAAGTTGAATAGGTATATATATGAACGGACAAAAATATGAGAAAATTATTTATTAGGGAACCTCCCTAATAAATAATTTTCTTTTTTTTTATTTTGAATAATTATGTCAATTTTAATAATAACAGTCTAATCACGTGTAGCTCTGATACGGCCTAACACGACATTGAAGTAAAAAGTTGGCTAGGGATCCATACCAAGGACGCTGGACATGAAGAAAGAACATTACATCGCACGTAATTAAAATTGGGTTATCATTATAAATATGATATATGCAAAAGTATGTATCAAAAACGTCAAGTCGTTTAGACTTATAAACGAACTAGAAAAGTCAGACTATGGTCGCCTAGTGAGGATATAAAATAGATCAATTCGGAGAATTCGGGAGAATCTGTTTTTGAAAAAGTGTTTAAAAAGAGAAGTATCAAAGACCACGCTTCAGCTCAAATGGGCCTTACACTTACAGAAAACCGGCGTAAACATTGAACAACCACAGCGTTGTCGCCGTGTGAATGAAGTTACCGGAAGCCCAATCCTTCCCCTGCCCCCATCCCTCCCCAACACCTAAATCTTATCACACTTGTAATGCGGGTATCCGTGGGTGGCGCTGATTGCTGACTATCAAGCAACTGTCTGCAGCCATAGTACACAAAAAATTAAAACATAAATCGATTAACGAAATACTAATGAACCCTAAAAACATAACACTCCTTTTTTGGGCTGTCGTGTAAAAATAGACCTTAACGGTTCAGGGAATTTCATGTTTTCCTCACCTATATTTTCAATAAAGCGTATTAAAATTATTCAAAACTTGTTATGAAATAGGTATTTTGTACTTATTATCTACCTACTTTACCATCAAACTTATCATCATCGTGTGAACGATAGATAAAAATACCAATATCAGGTAAAATTCTGATCAGATATGACGAATCAACTAGATAAGTGTAATGCTTATCTAGGTACTTTCCAACCAGATAGGTATATTTTTTTTGACAAGTCGCCACAATTTTCCATAACCTCTGCAGCTCCTGTAAGCCAAGGTCTACAGTAGATACAACCATAAAAAAAACAGAACACTGAAGTGCAGCGCGTACGAGGGACATGAATGATTGTTTTGAATCCCGCAATGAAATAAATCAGAAGATATTATTTGAGAAGAAGAAAAAAATAAATAGTTTTCACTACCCTCGGTTAATTTAACGCAGGTTATAACAATGACTTAAGTCTTTTTTTATCAGGAGAAGATCATCAACTGACATCTCCCGCCGAAGCTGCCACGCCCGGTAAGCACCTGCGTGAGGCGGAAGGTGAGGATGCCATGGTGTCCACAATTTTCCATAACCGTTGCAGCTCCTGAAAGCCAAGGTCTACAGTAGATACAACCATAAAAAAAAACAGAACACTGAAGTGCAGCGCGTCCGAGGGACATGAATGATCATTTTGGATCCCACAACGACATACATCAGAAGATATTATTTGAGAAGAAGAAAAAAATAAATAGTTTTCGCTTCCCTCGGTAAATTGAATGCAGAATATACAATGACTTAAGTCTGTTTTTGTCAGGGGAAGATCATCAACTGACACCTTCCGCCGAAGCTGCCACGCCTGCGACGCCCGGTAAACACATGCGTCAGGCGGAAGGTGAGGAACCCATGGTGTCTCTTAACCCACTCCTCAAAGTGGGTTCTTACCGCTGCTATAACAGTCTTCGAAGCCCAGTCACTGAACACCGCGGAAAATTTACTATTATGTGTGAGCTACTATACTATGATTTCATCGTGAATTTGTCCTACATTCCACAAGGTCCATATAATAAACTACACCTAATGACACATTAAAATTATCTAGCATAGTGTATCGTTTCTATTGCCAGAGACTAAACTCATTTATGCAGGATATCTATTACGAACTTCCAGTAAACAACTTATTTGCATTGTGCACATAAACAATGGGTACATATATTCGGGATGTCCCAAGTTGATTGTCGTTATAAATGCATAGTGATAAAAAAGCGTAAGACGCGCTTCAAAATTAGATTATAATTAGATAAAAATGACACTCGAGCAACAGTCTCACCACCAGGTGGATTTAGGCGCCCACCGATTAAGTTCAGCGAAGATGGTGGACACAGAGGTCACGAGCCGCCGTGCTCAGCGCACAGCGAGGCTTTAAGAAGACAAACTGGTCTCGATATCCCTATCCTTATCCTATCCCTACCCCGGAGTTGGTCGACAGAGAGGACCCTAACTGGTGCTGAAGGAGCCCAATGGCTTTTAGTAATTATTGAAACCCCGCATTCCCTAGCATTAGTCTTTCATTCCCAAAAATCTAAGCGACATTGAAAGGTTACCCTCCATAGAAAAATAGATAACTACCTACCTGCCTATGTCATTTCAATAGTTCTACATGTAGACATTTGTCACAGACTCGGTAAGTATTAAATTAGTTACGTGTCAGAATGATTTATTATAGTCTTTCTTTAAAAGTAACGGTTTTCAGGGACAACCACAGAATGTTCCAGTATGCAAAGTATCCACAATTAATATTATATTGTGGATACTGAAACAAACCTTTTTTGAATGTCCTTGGTAGCAAAATAGTTTTCAGCAAAAAAAAAACAGACATCTATGTTTTTTTTAATGTGATAGTGCGGCTAACGAGCAGACGGCTTACCTGATAGTAAGCAATCGGCGCCGCCCATGGATACCTGCAACACCAAAGGAGTTACAAGTGTGTTGCCGGACTTTTAGGGATAAGGGTTTTGGATATTTAAGAATTTGGAAGGGATTGGGGTGGGCCTCCGGAAACCTCACTTACACGTTGTGGTTGTTTCACGCCGGTTTTCTCTAAGGCCGTGGTATCACTCCGGTCGAGCCGACCCATTTATGCCGAATTGGCTTTACTAAACTTAAATGTAACACGTAACGTGTAAACGTAATGTGTAAATAGAATAAATTGTATGAGGTAAGAAAGTAGTTATATTTATGTAGTTTATATTTATGTATCCAGCCAGAGTCACAGGTGCAAGCGCAGTGCTGTACTGCGACCGAACGAATTGATTTGAAGACAGTTAGAGTCTGGCATATCTCGCTGTACAGAGGGAGGGATAACCGTTAGATGATTTACCTTTTTGAACTATGATTTTTATGCGGAGCATTAAACTAGCCGAGTTTCTTGTCAAACGGTGGTAGGACGTGATAAACCATTAAACATGATAATTCATTCTAGAATCCCATTACCTGTCCCTGAGATACCTTGGATAGTGGCTAGGATGTCAAATAACAAAAACAATAATACGATAGCCACAACATTTGCAGTGTTATGAATTCAATCATAATACAAAGTAGTTCAAACAAAGTGTATTTCAAGAGGAACTGGTGTCCATTGCATATTTTTTTCTACACTACCTTACTGATGTCTCCCATTTGGGATTTATGGCAACTTTAAAATTAATTCATATTTTTCGATCCTTATGCTACTTAAGTAATAATTTGTCTTTTCAAACTTATACATCTGCCATCAGCCAGAGACAAACCGAATTTTCTTCATATGAAAATGAATATTACAAGAAACCTACTAAATAATATTTTTACTTTTATTGAAATGGTTTGTAATTTGGATCGTATCCTCAGTTTCTGACAACATGAATTACCCTCCTGCTTCATATATCAGGTAATTTCACTGGACCCAAAAAATTTAGATCGATTATGTGGTCGATGGTCTCTTTATATCCATTTTCCATTTTGATTTTGGAAGCAAAACCAGCAAACATTTTGAGTAAAACTCCTTCGTGTCTATCGGTCAAAATGTATCTAAGAAAGGGTCTTGTGGAACTAACTAAGAACTACTCCTCATTGATATTCTTACTTCCAAGCCAACAGGATCCAATTACATCCAAGAGACTGATGAACTTGTAAGGATAGTGCGAGGAATATTTATTTAAAGGATGATTGTCTGAGCCCACTGTGTGAATCCGGTCAGTACCTAGCTGGAGGCTTCGGGGCTTGGCTGTCTTTTGTGGAAAAGAGGGCTTTGTTATATTCCACTTACTTTAAAAGGATCACCTCAAGTTGGTTGCCCGAAACAAGAAGTATTGAAGTACGATTCATTGATCTCTTCGGAAAAACTGAAGGATTTGTCAGTGTAATTATAGCCCACCCATCAGGAATCAGGTGGCCAAGACATTCCGCCAGCAAATTTCTTTGCACTACCGACTCGTTAATTTGAGGGACCGTACCTATAAGTATTTGCCCGACCCAGTTCTCATAAATGGCGATATCGCGTTGAACCAAGATCTGTCTATCATCGCTGTCAGGACTATTATAGACAATTAGCCATATATACGTAGGTATAGTAGTAAAAGACAGTGCGCCGTGCAACAATAATCGATATCGTCATTCTCATTACGAGCATATCGTGAAAACTGAGAAAGATAAAGAGATAAAATATCTTGAATTTGCTCACGAGACTGTCGAAATGTATTATTGTGCTGTTAGTTGTGTCGTCCAATGGATAAGTCCCTAAAAGACTGACGATAGATGGATGGATAAAAGGCCTGATACACTCAGCACGCCAGTAGCTTGGACCATACTCTTGACTCTGGTTGGCCGGTTGGATTCCATTTTTAAATATATTTTTTATATTAATATCTAAAAATATGTTTTTGAAGCAGCTTTGAGTAGGTTAATGTGTGTCATAAAATAAAATAATGTAACAAGTTTACTCACCGCGCGAAGTGCATTAAAATTGAACGCACTCGAATCATGAACTTGAAACATTAGTCTTTGAGCTTCAGTATATGCAATAAAATGATATGATAAAGGGACAATCACAGAAACACAAAATATGAATAAAATCACAGTTTTACATGTAACTCTTCTCCCGACCATGTTGTTTTAACTTTATTTTTCCTGTCCAAGCCGCACAAAACACTTTAATATTGCCCAAATGTATTCACTGACAGGTAATCTCAATTATAAAACCGCACTTCTTTTTCTAAAACCATTTACAAGTTATATCCATTTTAGGTGCTTGTGAACATAAATAAAACACTATTCTACTGGAATATAAAACTCGCCATTAAAACAGTAATAAAAAGGAACCATGTAATTACATTTAAGTGATACGATATTTTAGACCTAAATACTAGTATTAGTCACACTACACACTGAGCAAGTCGTATGTTATGTATGAGTTGGCCGGTATACCTTCGTTAAGGCGGCTGTAATACGAGTGTACGCGGAATACAGCGGGCTGATAATAACATACACGTACATTGTTACCGAAACGTAAAATCAGAATGAACATGGTAACCGAACAATAGCGGTGAAATCGGTTAAATTTGACCACGGACGTCCAACGCCATGATAAGATTGTTATCAATATTTTGTACTATCAACGCTAAGTAGAAAAAGTCATAATAAATTAATGTAATTCATATGTAGATTAGACAAGAATTATATTGATAAAAAAAATGCGATTTCACTGTTCATTTGAGAACGTAGAAGAAAAATTTATAGAAGATATAAGATATATATATAGAATCTAATACATAATTATATCCTTTCATTATTAGTTGAAATATTTTTAAAAACACGGTGTCAAAAGTTGGTACATGTGTAAACTTAAGTAAATGTCACACACACTTTTCATCTGTTTTAGTTATTGATATAAACATGAATGTTGAAGCTCTAAAATAACAGCGGATGTGATTACAAAATAATGTTACGGATATTTATAAACAATCACATTATTACAACTGAAACATTTTAAAGTAATGGAATCGTAACTATTAGGTATCTATCGATGATCCAAATATGTGTGGACTTGGCAAGTGAACTGGCATATTCAAGGTCATTTAAGGATTACTTACCCACTGATAACCAAATGTTACTCAGGAATAATTTAAGTGCTGATTTAAAATTTTTAAGTACGTCGCTCCAGTTCCTATTTTTTATGGAATAGATCAGCAAACGAGCAGACGCATCTCAGCGCCGCTCATGAACACTCACAATACGAAGAGAGAAGTACGAAAAGAGTAGTACTGCCAATTGCGTTGCCGATGGGTTATTAGGGATTTAGGGATCTAAGAAAAGGGGATTTGAAGATTGGAGATGGGGGGATTACATGGGGATGGATTGGTCCAGTAAACTCATACGGCGAAATACACCGCTGTGGTTGTTTGTATTACTCCTTTAGAGCCAATAACCCATTCGTACCGAAGCATGGCTCTCCCACATTTAGAGCGCGCTTTAGTGCTTGAAGATTAAGAGCGTCTCCATCACGTTACGTTTATGGATTTCAGGAGTTTTCGTTATTCTGAATACTTCAAAATCTAGTCGACCGAAACAATGAAACAATGAATTAATTTTTCAAATAGGCCATACAACGTCACTTTTACACCTCAATTTATATGTGAAAAACTAGATGAAGAAAAGTTTATGCCTGATTTTCAATTGGTTATTCCTGCGATCGTCTCCTTGCAGGAAAATCACACCGTTAGCAGCTGAGTCAATCAGCCGGGAATACGATGTAAACGCAATGAGGCACCGCGGCCTTAGAGCAGGAGAAGGGACGGGAGGTTCCTTAGTCAGTAAGAGTCTGTCACCCTATCTCGCTGAAGCCTAGGCAGGAGAAGTCATTGGATGATTTTCCTCTGTTAGTAGTTAGGATCTCTGATTAAAAACCGTGAAAAAATACGTATCAAAGTAATTAGCCGATACTACTTGTTAGTCATAACAAATTCTGATTCATAGGTATTTATTGATTACATAAGGGTTACAAAAACTGTTATGTACAAAAAATCGCACGCCGCTGTATACAAATCGGTCGGGATTCCCCTACTTATCAGGTAAATTTTGAACTGATCACACTTAAAATATCGTATCAGTATTAATCAAACAGTACCGATGATGTCATTTTTACAAGCCAAATTATTCCTTTTTTTTTATTTGGTAGGTCGGCACACGAGCTAACAGACTACCTGATGATAAGCGAACAGCGTTGCCCATGGACACCCGGAAGGACGAAGAAGTTACGAGTGCGTTGCTGACCTTTTGGGAATTAGGGATTTGGAGATTTTGAGGATGAGCAGGGATTGGGGTAGGGGAAGGTTTGGGCCAACGGTAACCTCACACGGCAAAACACAACGCTGTGGTTGTTTCACGCCGGTTTTCTGTAAGGTGGAGGTATCACTCCGGTCGAGCCGGCCCATTCGTGCCGAAGCATAGCTCTCCCACGCTTAAATGAATATTACTTAGTTACATGCTCAGAAATGCAAAATCAAAACCAAAACTTCTCGGGTGATATTTGTGTGATCGTCTCTACGCCTTGCGTGAAATTAGACACTCTTATAGTTCCTTTTTTTTGGCTATATAAAAACGCAAACTACCCTACGGATTACTTGATGGACACCCGAAACACCAGTGGAGTTGCCCGAATCATAAAGATAGGTATTGGTTTTGGGGATCTGGGAGGGTTGGGGGAGAACAATTGGGCTACTGGTAACACACACATACGGCGAAACACAACATTGTGACTCTTACACACTTTCCATATCCCAGCAGAATAGATTTTAGACAATACTTATGTAGATTGAATGGATAGTAGATACATGGCCCGCGTTTGGGTTTACATGTTTCTGAGTTTAAATGACAAAAACATTTTTTACGGTAAAACGGGGTGAATAGATAACAGAACAACTTCCCAAAATATATATCCCATATTTTTTATTACGTAGGCACATGTTCAATGCACCGAATAGGCAGTTTTTACCAACAACAAATTAAAGTGAGTATCATTGAGCCTATTGTTAAGTAGGTATATATAGAACACTAACTCTAGCCTCAAAGTCAAAATCATTTATTTCAATTAGACCAAAGTAGGCACTTTTGAACGTCAAGCAAAATAAAGGAAAAGGAAAAACGTATTTTAAGAGCTTTAACTTTAAGCGTGTTAACCTCTTCGCTCTTACATACCTACTTTATATTATTTCTTTTCGACGGGGAATATCATTAACTGACTCTCTCGCCCCGGGTGAGGCGACAGGGAGTACAGACTATTTCCACCATCACTTCACCCGTTCCTTCTCCTGCTCCAGACTAAGTCCGCGAAAAATTATAGCTCTTGACATAACCCTGGTTGAATATCAGCTATGCTGGGGCCCCACTGTGGTGATCTGTTGGCTCTTTGAGGTGAACCCAGAAAATACTTTGCGCATATGCTTAGGTCTAGTTTTGGTCGGGCGCAGCTGGAGATCGTCGCTCGACCTTTTTAAAGTCTTCAGATCATATTAATAACTTGTACCTAAGTGCTCACTGCTGAGCCTACTTAGCTTCTTTCTTCTACTGAGCTTCTTTCCACGTAGATAAGGTTTGAGCAATTATTGTCACCTTGGGTTAAGACCCGAAATAGATACATACATATTCCAATAGACTTCTGGCGTTCTTGCGTGACACCACACGCCACGCCACATAAGTGTATGCCTCTCTAACATTAAGCGGATAAGTGATTTTAAACTTATAGTTTAGCCATTATAATTCAAGCTGCCTCACCATTATTCCTACCCGTTTATAAGTGATGTCATAATAAGCTTAGACCCCCTTATTACAAAATAAGATTTATCTTTTGTTCAGGTTTAAACCATTTCGGTCGGGATTTGAATTTTGAATCTTATTGTCATCTATCTTCAATTCGAAATACGAAAACTGGCTCAATGGTTTAGTGCTAGACTAAAGTAAAACCTTGTTTTGTAACAAGGCCGCGAAAGTTCAGATAGGTAACTTGAAAAAAGTCACATTGGTGCTTGCCACGTTTCGAATCCGTACCACGGCACCTAATGTTTGTAATGCTTTGCCCAACCCAAAATTAAAGTAGAGCTCCATTCATTCAACCAGTGTTCCATCTACAAGGTGCTCAAACACTTTTGATTACCATATTATCAGCTAACTACAGTACGATAATGTTATGTAGGTATACAGTACTGTAAAACTAACAGGTTTAATTAGGGTTTTATCACCATTGCATGTTAATTACTTCTGTTCAGTTACCTAATACGTACTTTGTAGCTATGTACCTGAACGTAAATACTTTACTATTTATTTATTTTCTGTTTTATTTGAGGCGTCCATGGCCCTTAAAAAATACATAATTTAATTAATATATCTAACAAATATTTCAAAAACCGTAAAATAAAAAGAAATGAAAACTGTTTTATAAAAATACCCTATAACATTGAAAAAAAACTAATTAATAATATCATTACCTACTATTTGCGTAAGTAACAATTTATATGATCTCTATACTCGGAATTTTAATTCCATTCCAGATTTGACAATTTCAGTGTTGCAACGTTATGTACACGTAATAAATAGTGACGTTGCGAAATTATTCGATATGGAAATCGAATATTTCTGAATCGATTCCTCTCGTTTATAAATTTACTCTCGTAAACTAAGTTTATCAGGAAATAAAATATTTCTGAACCGATAATTTAGTTTTGACAATTAATTAACGATCTGAGACTTTTCTTTTGTAATTGTGTGTGAAATTAATAAAAAATGTGATCATGAAGGAACGTGACAAATAAAACAGACATTTTATAAATTGTCGCCGTCATCGCTATCGCTATCGCCGTTACTCTATGTAACATTTATTATGAATTATGTCTTAGATATTTATTGTCAATTAACATATCTAGCTTACTCATTTTTTCCTCCTCTTTGAAAACATGGGATACACATTTAGACCATTCGGTAGCCGTAATTTTTTGAATGCCTTCCTGAAACTGATTTACTGATTGTTTATCGATTTTTGTGTTCATCACTACACTGTTATATGTGGTATCATTATTTCACAAAATGACAGTGGTCAATGTCAAATCAGGAATCGAATTAAAAGTCTGACTATAGTCAAAATGGAATTCACTTGAAACTTTAGAAATTGCAACACTTTATTTTTTGATACATTCTATAATATCTACCTACACACCTGCCAACTCGTTCTTCTTACGAATAAGAAGTAGTTTTAAAGAAAACCTACAGACTAATTAGGTATTTAACAAAGTGCGTAATAATATGGATATTTTATAATTGTCTACAAGCTTCAAGGTGTAGTAGGTATGTATACCTACCTAAATCTTATATTCGAATGACTAATAAAATATATAAATTGTATCACAATCCAATTTTATATGAATAAAAAAAGTCACCCATTTATAAAAACTATTTTAATAGGTACTTAAATAAGTATAAAAATGCATATTGTAGATCAGTAAGTAACTAGGTATAGGTACCTTATTTTTCGAGTCATGGCTTCATAATTATTTGTATTTTTAAACACTTGTTTCAATTTAACTTATTATAAAAATAAAAATTAAATGCAATATTCGAATTTATTGAGCAATAAAATTACACGCTGATGACTACTACAAAAAATTATCAAATCCGATAATGTCCGAACCGTATGATGAAGTACCTAAGTACCTAACGTTTATAAAATAACATTTAGAAAATTATAATGTTGTATTCTATTTCAATATTTAAGTAATAAATTAAGAGTAGTTAAATAGAATTAAAATTTTCAACGAAATAAGTACCTACGTCAGTAAAATTATTAGTTTAACATTTTATTAAAATAAATAGGCAAATAATTTTATAGAGTAGGTAAGTAGGTACCTACTTCATGTAAAACTAAAATCATCATTGACTAGCTACTCCCGCGCGGTTTCACTCACTGCTCGGCTCCATTTGATTTTAGCATGATGTTTTATAACCTATAGCACTCGGGAACATTGTAGCTACCTATCAGTGAAAGAATTTTGAGAATCCGACCAGTGGTTCCAAAGATTACCCCCTACATACAAATTTACAAACATACAAACTTACAAGTTTTACCTCTTTATAATTTTAGTATAGATTTATTTAACAGACTTCTTTTCACATTACATTCTTAGTAATTTCTGAGCGCAACAAATGACGACAAACTAATGTTTTGATTTGACATTTCATACGTCAACTTCAACTTACGTCATTTTCATCACGGTGGAAAATTTACAGATACTAAAGTAAAAGTCAAAACAAAGAGAGCAAAAACTTACATCGCACATTAACCATGGATCAGTTTTCATCTTCAAATAAATAATCATTAGTATAGTAATCTGGTGAAAAACTTCAGAAAAATTGCAAAAGAAACCTGTTATTGTGGTAAGTAACTAAGTTCTTATTTTTTATTTTAAAATAAAAACATTTTGTTTTCATTCGTAAACATAGGTAACATCAGTAGTCACGTAGTATTTTCATTCCCATTTACTGAATTCAAGTTATTCTAATGTATAAGTAAGTACATAAAATAACCTATTGATAAGTAAAGAAGCAAGTACCTACACTAAAACTAAATCAAACAAAAGCGTTTTTTATTTAAGTACAATATTATATGAGCCATGCATTGCTTACAACATTTAGTATGATAGAGTGTATCCACTTTTAGCTATGATAAGTGATTCACCATAACCACATGTAGGTACCTACTTATTTTAAGCAGTGATTTATGTATGTACTTATAGTACATCTGTACTTGAACAGCTTGTACCTTATCATTCATTATTGTACAATATTCGCGGAAGCAAAGAACATAAAAACGCAAGTATTGCTGAAAAATCTACATTAAAAAACTATTAGGTACTTAAGTAAATCTATAGATGTTAGTATTGTGTAAAGTTTAAATTTAAACACCAATAGATTTTTAATAAAATTATGATGCAATCTTATAATAAATTTGCAAGTTTACTATTTATTAAGGTACACAACAGTAATGAGTCAATACTTTACATAATTACAAAACAAACATTTATGTTATTCTGAACAGGATCTTAAATTAAGGTCACAGAGTATATTTAATTATTTTGTTCTTTGTAATCTCACTTGAAGATCCAAACCTATTAGTTCAGTTTTCACTAGGAAGTGAGACAGTAATGTATAGTTAAATATTCTTTATCTGCGTTATAATTTATTCTTTTAAAACTAAATGCATTATCAACTACTACAATTTATTGCATCGTCATTGTCACTGTCTTCTGTGAAGGGAATATGTACAATGAAGGTATAATACACTGTACTGTATTTGTAAATTTCAGATAAACATGGCATCGAAACATTTGGGTCTCATAAAAGAAGTGGAAACTTTTGAAGTGCTACCAGAAGCTGTAACTCTGCCTGATGAACCTGATCAAAATGTTGAGACTGCCGTTGAAGCCATGATGAAATTGTCTCCGGTACAAATACAACAGGAGTACTATGAAAATTTGGGTGATTGTGATTGGGTGAAGTAAGTATATATTTTTATTAGCTTATTTTCAAATAAATATTATTTAATGGCTACACAAAATATAAATTACAACAAAATGCATTCCTAATCGGAGAACACAAAATATAAATTATAACTTTAAGTAAATTTTCAAACTCCTTCCTATTTATCAATTGTTTTTTTTTTATTTATTTATAAAGAATTAAATACTACCAATAAATTTGTTACAGATATGAAAAAAGTAATAGAAACTATTTGCTTCAAAATGTCGCCTTTGCTCTCTTTGGAGGACCAAGTACAGAGGGAGAGCTATCTGAAGTAGTTGGAGACCAGCATGCACACCTTGAAGGGTACACTAGTAGACAGAAAGAACAAGTTATGAGAGTCTATGAAAAACTTTGTGAACAAAGTAAGTTTGTTATAACGTAAGACAGCTGATGAGCAGACCTATCACCTGATAATAAGTAATTAACACTGCCTATTGAAACATGCAACTTTTAAGATTGATGGCCTTATAAGGTTGTTATTGGCCAGTGGAGTAGGGTTATGGGTCTATGACATGGTAGCATGTGGTGCTTGCCTATAATTGGTTGTGCAGTGATACTGTGAAACTAGTTTTTTTTAATGTTGCCCTACACTGGGGTTTTCTTCTATGTCGTAAAGGTACTATTTCACATACACATCATACCCAGAACAGGAACAATAATTTGTGGCTCACACAAAGGATTGTTCCATGTGGGAATCAAACCCACGACACGTTGTGCGGCAGCCAGTTTCCCAGCCACCGCGCCAACCATGCAATAATTGTACATTTATTTATACTTACACACTACTACTTACTGTAACAACTGTTGGTAGGCCATAAATAAATAAATAAAATAAATGGTAACCTCGGTAACAATCTGAACACAATGCAAGCTTTGTCCCGCACCAGTCTTACATACCACCCTCTGTTATGTGTTTGATTTTAATCCGTTCTATCCATTACTTTATTGTCAGTATTAGTGGTTACTAGTTTTTTGTCCAAGAATTATCACAGGAAATATTAAAGACATCCTGGATCAGACTTTAAAACTCACTCTCAAATAACTGATTAATTAATATTTCTTGAGTACTGGTATAAACATTAAGTTTCTATATCTTCAATTTATTAATTGCTTCAGGTAAATATTCATACAATGATGATGATATAATTATGTCTGTACTCCTGGTCGTGTGTGCTAAGCCGAAGCCTCTGAAATTTTATGAAATTCAACCCTCAAACTATTGGTTGGACCTTCATGAGAGAACTGATAGTGATATATGGTGTACAGCAGTGTTCAGAGTCCGGAAATGTATACCTACGACCGTTGGAAGTAAGTACCACTATAATCTACCTATATCAGCCTATAAGTAATACTGTAGTGTACAGTAAATACTGCTGAGCAAAGGCCTCTTCTCTCAACGAGAAGGTTTGAGCATTAATCACCACGCTTGCTCAATGCAGGTTGGCAATTTCAAACTTATAATTAGAAATCAGTAAAAGTCAGTGGTGTTTAAATAATCATAGAAAGTACATATAATTGGTACTTGCCAGGTTTCGAACCACCACGACATTTTTGACACACCGGTTCGAAACCTGGCAAGTACCAATGTGACTTTTCCCGAGTTATATGTACTTTCTATCATTATTTAGACACCACTGACATGCGGTGAAGGTAATAAACATCGTGAGGAAACCTGAACTTATAAGTTTGAAATCGCCAACCCGCATTGAGCAAGCGTTGTGATTAATGCTCTAACCTTCTCCGTGTGAGAAGAGGCCTTAGCTCGGCAGTGGGCACTTATAGGCTGATGATGAATCAGACGATTCACAACCATTTGACTAATGAGGCTTACCTTCTACTACTATGTTATCAAACTTATAAAACACACCAGCTACTTTTCCTTTCAGTCACTGGCAGTATCAATTCTGCTTGTAATGTGATTATTTTCAGTCTATAAAAACAGAAGGCTAATAAGTAAAAAATATCATAAATATTTTGATACTTTTCGTATTAGAATTAGTTTATCAGATTAACATTTTGTAGGTACCTACGTCAGTTGATTTTATTATCGTAATACAGTTCCGCATTATTTCCTCTTAGATAAATCGTTCAATGCACAATTCAAATGGTCTTATCTTTATTACATTTGTAAACATGAATAATAAAAATTATAAGTAGCTATTGTTTTATTTTATTACAGTGAAATCATGCCGCGTTTATATAGATGAAAATGCAAGGGTTTATCACGACTGGGAATCATATTTGACTAATAATACTTTGCCAAAATGTGTCATTATTGTGCCTGAAAATGGAGAATACACAGGAACACTTCTGGAGGTAATTTTAACCATACACTAATGTTAAATTAGCAGCCCTTCCCCGCTTTGCGCGGTTATCAAACTATTTTCCGACTCGCTTTTTCCGTTTTTTTTAATGTTATAGGTCGGCAAACGAGCAGGCGGATTACCTGATGGTAAGCAATCAGCGCCGCCCATGGACACTCGCAACGGAGGAGTTACAAGTGCGTTGCCGACCTTTTAGGGATTAGGGATTTGGAGATTTAGGGATTGGGGGAGGGGAAGGATTGGGCCTCCGGTAACCTTACTCACACGGTGAAACACAACGCTGTTGTTAATTCACGCCGGTTTTCTGTGAGGCCGTGGTATCACTCCGGTCGAGCCGACCCATTCGTGCCGAAGCATGGCTCTCCCACACTTAAATTCACTTTTATCCCGTTACGTTTCTAAAATTTTCTTACATTAAAACCTTCTCATGACAGTATTAAACACAACAAAAAAATAATCGTAAAATTGATCCAGGCAATGCTTACCAACAGTATTTGCGATTTATTTTATATGGGTGTAAGTATAGATTTGTAGCATTCTATGAATAACAATATTTTCTTTTTCAACAATATTTTGTATCATGGGTGTATTTAATTTACAAACATACAAATTCACATAAATACCGTATCCAGAGTCGGAACCAAAACTCATGCAATCAGGCTGGCGAGTACAATAAAAAAAAATTATTTTAATAATGTTTGTTTTAATCTCAATTAATGCTGAATTGTAACTTATACATGCATAAGTATTAGAGGGCCATGCTTCGGCACGAACGGGCCGGCTCGACCAGAGAAATACCACGGCCTCCCAGAAAACCGGCTTGAATCAACACTTACGTTATGTTTGCCGTGTGAGTGAGGATACCAGAGGCCCAATTCTCATTCTCACCCCCCTCCCCCATCCTGAAACCGCAAACCCCCTGTCCTTAAATCCCTAATAACCCACAAGAGGTCGGAAACGCGCTTATAGTAACTCGTTTGGTGTTTGTTCATGCGCGGTGCTGATTGCTTACCACAAGGTAATCCGCCTGCTAGTTTGCCGACGTATAACATAAAACATAGCTAGTAAATATCAATTAGGAGATATTATCTTCAGATTACATGTTAGTGATTGAAAATAAAAAAAAACTAATTTTCAGGGAGAAGAAACGTTTGCTGTAAAGTTGACGGTAGCACCATCGCCGACGTTGGGTATCAAGGCCCGTGTCCTCAGTTCAGTGGACACTGCCAGTACTGTGGCGTCTATCGGCGCTATAGGAGTCATCGGCGTGGCGGCATTTACGCCTGTAGCACCCGTAGTACTGGCCGGCGCCGCAGTCGCAACTGTCGCCACTGGCGTTTATGGTCTTGTACGCTCCTCCCTACATCTCCGTGATAGAAGCGCTCATGAACAAGTGAGTTTGTCATTTTAATAATTCTATTTTTTGAAGTTGCCCCACGCTGTTTTGCTATATAATAGATAGGTACTACAAACATACAATTTCTAAGACACTTCACACCTAGACCCAGAACAAATTTTTGAATCACACGTTACACACTGGTAGCCCACCCACCCTACTAGAGATTAGGTAACGTTCGGTCGTTGGGTTGATTTCTATTTTTTTCCAACATACTAAGGAGATGATTTAATTAATTCGGGCTTATACTTCGGTTTCTATATCTGGGCGAAAAGTTTTGTTATATCAGTGATTTTTTTTTTTATTTAATTCATAAAAAATTGTACAATAGCCAAACCTTTGCAGAGATAAAATTATAGTAGATGCACAACGCAAACAAGAAACATTTACCATAACACTCGCATAAGGTTTAATAAATAAATAAATAAATATGTGTATATATTTTCTCGCTGATGATGATTATTATTTTGAAGAAGTTATTGATGGGTGATGTTATTGCAGACCATAAGTCCTACGGACGCGGAAGCGCGCGGTAGCTGGCTAAATATAGCGGCGTCGAGCGTTGGCCTGGCCGCGGGCGCCGCCAGCTCCCTGCTGTCTCGCTCTGCCGCCGCCGGCACTAACATGACCAAGGTACCTACATTTAAAATTCTATACATTTTAAGAACATGGAACAACCACAGAGTTGTGTTTCGCCGTGTAAGTGAGGTTACCATATGCCTAACCCCTACCCTCCCCTTCACAATTCTAAAATGTCCGAAACACTTATCCTCAGTCGGTTTAAAAGACCGGAACACGGTAATTCCTTACGTGTTCTGAATATCTCATAAAAAACATTCAGTCAAGTTCTTACTGGGCAAGCTCTCGTTACTAACCATACACCGTGACCTCCATAGCGTATGAACGGAGTCACTTTTATTCAGGAAAAATGACAGATTTGCTAAATCATGATCGTCTATGCATTTCAGGGAAAAGGAACCCCCACGTAGAGTAAATATGCAAGATGTTGCTAATCAAATGGAATGATTACTGGTTTCATCATGACATCGTTTTTGTTTTCTTGTTGCTACTACTGGTTCCTATTGAGGGTAAATCGCTAGCGTGGTCCACATGTTGTCACTTATAGCGTTTAACGTGTTAAATGTGCCTGTCTCTACCCTTGTGCATTAAGAGCCATGCCTTTTTATTGTGGGATAAATTCATCAAAATACTTCTCTCGTCCTGGGTAGGGACGGTAAAACTTTTACTCATTAAAAACCACCTTGCTCCTTTTCCTGCTCCAGGCCGAGCCACTGTATATTATAGTCCTTGCACCCGCAACCTCGGCTGAAAAGGCATTTTTTTTTTGACAGGGAAAAATCATCATATTACTTCTCCCGTCCAGGGTAAGGCTAGAAAGAATCTCTTAATGACTAAAACCCCCCCCCCCCGTCCCTTCTCATGCTCTGGGCCGAGGATGCGGTGACTTATTGTATTGCGCTTAACCCTCCGCAACCCCGGCTGAACATCAGCCCTATAGGGCCCCGCCTGTGGTGGTCTATTGGCTCTTTGAGGTGCGCACCGTACACTTCAGTCTACCCTTACTCGACGTCTGATTTGAAATTAAAAAAAATATTTACATTTTCTTTCTATAGACAGGGCAAGCGTTGGCCGTATCAGTAGAAGTACTGCGTCATGCGAACATAGTAACCGGTGGAGCTGGAGTTGTCAACAGCTTGCTGCATATCGTACTTAAGGTAAGATCTATTTTGTATAATTATTCAATTATCTATTACTAACTATTAATCACGGCTTCACACAAGAGGTGTAGGGAATGAAATAGCCTCTCGAAATCGTGAGAGAAAGAGATAGAAGCATACTTTCGCATTCGTTTTATTTGTGATGATCTCTGTTTAATACCTAAGTGAAGAATAATTGTGCTAGAGTAAAAAAGTTAGACTAGGTAGGTTTGGATTAACCTTTTTATATTCGGAATTTTAATTAGATTCCAGATTTGTCAATTTCAGTGTTGCAACGTTATGACAAGTACTAAATAGTCACGTTACGAAATTATTCGATATGGAAATGGAATATTTCCGAATCCATTCCACTCGTTTTTAAATTTTTCTCTCGTAAACTAAGTTTATCAGGAAATCAAATATTTGTGAACCGATAATTTAGTTTTGACAATTAACTAACGATCTGATACTTTTCTTTTATAATTGTGAGTGAAATTAATATATAAATGTGATCATGAAGGAACATGACAATTTCATATTTTATTTTTATAAATTGTCGCCATTATCGCTATCGCTGTTATTTTCTGTAACATTTATTATGAATTGTGTCTGTGATATTTATTGTCTATTAACATAATATCTAGCTTACTCATTTTTTCCTGTTGTTTGACAACATAGAATACGCATTTAGACCATTGGGTAGCCGTAACTTTTTATCGATTCGCTGATTGTTTATCGATTTTTATGTTCATCACTACACTGCTACATGTGGTATCATTATTTCACAAAATGACAGTAGCTAATGTCAAATCTGGAATCGAATTAAAATTCAAATTAAAGTTAGAAATATCGACTTAATTAGACCACGATTTTTAAATGGCAGTCTAATACTTTCTTCTTTATAATAAAAAATAAATATAAATTATTATAACCTAATTATTGTTATTTTTATAGTATCGCAAGCATGGAGAGAAACCAACGAAATTGGAGCTGTTCCAGTTCGCGTCGGCAACGCTATTCTTCTGTCACGCTGTGGTGTCTAACCGTACTGCTCAAAGTATCATTGAAGATGCCCAGGCGAAGACTATCAACGAATACCGCGCCACACTAAGGAGTAATAGGCATAGGTCAGTGAAATTTGTTTTTATCGACCGTAATTATACCTATAACTAAGTACTGTCGCGCGGTTTCACCCGCTTCTCGGCTTCTATAGATCGTAGCGTGATTTTTATAGCTATGGGCTATAAAAATCACGCTACGATCTATAGAAGCCGAGAAGCGCCTTCGTCGATAAATTGACTAACAAACTCAAAAAGAGTCGTTCAATTCAAACCAATAGTTCCGGAGATTAGCGCGTTCAAACAAACAAACTCTACAGCTTTATAATATTACTAAGTATAGATTAGCAAAACCGACTGCATAGCCACACGTTAAGGTTGAATTTCGACTGTTTCTCATAATTAATATCACGCAACCAAAAGTTTATCCCAATGAATTGTAATGTGACTCATAATATTGAATATGTACTCCTATGCCTTTCCATCAGGGATTAAAATTGTTAAATTTTTGTATTTTGTATTATTTACAGAAAAATGTTCGACAAAATCAGCGCTGAGTCTAGAAGAATACAAGGCGCCGTACAAGGCAACACAGAAGTCATTAAAGGCATACAGAACATCTTCGACAAAGATCAGTACTTTGCTGATGTACTCAGAATAAACAAAGATGTCAACCAACATAAGCTTAGGATATCCATGACGTCTGACGGCCAAGTCAACTTGAACTCTCAACACAAATTCAATCCTTCAGAGTTGTACAATCTTGGTAAGGAAGGTAGGGCTCAACTGTTCAGTAATCTGGGGCCAGCTTCAGTTAATACGAATAATGTGCCAACACGAGTAGTTCCATCAACGAACGCAGTCACAGGCTATGTTGAAGGCGAAGAAGAAGGCACTTTAGTTGGGATCCACCCTGGAGAAATATTAAGGATCGGTTCGCTGCTCGTACGTGTTAGTGCTTCGGGCGCCGAAAACGTAGCCCTCATGCTAGAAAACCTCAGTCAAGACGTGTACGCCAACCTAATGACAATAGCATTCAATGTCTTATCCAAACTCGTCCCAGAAGAAATCGCCAGACTTAGACTACTAAGTCCAGACGAAGACTTGATAGTTCAAATTGTTAAATTCGTATTTAATTATATGAAACACCAAAGACCACTAGGTGACCCGAGCAGAGAGAATGACAATGGCATTGTAATTGTATTAAAAGAATTCTTCCAAGAAGGTGTTGTGCGCCAAGAAACAATATTGTATTTGAAAGATCGTCTGCTCGGTTGGGTCGATAGTGAAATGGATCGAAGGAGATTGGAATTCCCGAACAAAAAGTCAATAGTTTGTGAAACTTGTAGGGGTATCAGGTATGTTTAGTAGATACATATTTTTGCGACCAAAGTAAGATCACATAATTATTACCCATCACAGCATATACATCATTATTTTTTTATCATCGGTAACGTTTAAATTACCACCAGATATAAGAACATATATCAAGATTAAACCCGTATTTTAATTTAAAAATTATAACCAACGTTTTTACATCTTACCATCCTATTTCACGAAAATGGCATTGTTATAATCCAAACGTGGTAAATGATCAATAAAATTAAAACAGTAGCAAGCTTATTGACAAAGAAAGTTTTTACATCTTGCTATTCTATTTAAGGCTGATTTTTCAATGGTCCGTTAAAGTTATCTGGTGAATAATTATAATGCTGTCGCGTCAAAATGTTTGTATAAGACAGAAGCTGTTCTCCCGCAACAATTTTATTTATTAAAAATAAATTGATGATGTCGACATTTTGACGTTTAGAGTCATAATTGTAACCAATCTAAGTGGTCATCAAAGCCAAAAAAATCTAACACTTTTAATACACGTACTTATATGCTTTGTTCTAAGCAGATAATAATCCTAAATTGTATGCCAATCACAGTGATCAAAAACAGCGCATTAATTAGCTCGCTAAGATTTGATGATCATTTACCACATTTACACTCGGTTTCTGAAAGGCTTGTCAACGCTAAAATTAACTAATCTGCTGTTAAATCTCTTGTCAAGTCATCTGATTGGTTGTTGATAAATCAGTCCACCAATCAGATGACTTGACAAGAGATAAAATTGATCTGCCTTTCGGAAACCGGGTGTTAGTGTTCGAATACAATTTGAAGTACAGTGATGACTAAAATAAATAATTTTAGACCTTATTTTCAAGTGTCAATGTATATTTTTGGTAAAAGAAACTAAGGGTATCACTTTGTCATTATATCATATTATATAATTTTATTGGGTCTTTTTCAACCCCATTTGTACGAGCTTAGTTCAAAAAATTACTAGTAAAGGTTTAATCTGCAGCAAGGGAACTTTTCTATACACAACGATTATAATGTAGGGAACAAGTATCACATTTAGCAATACTTACATACATTAGAATATGGTCACTAAGACGGAAAATGAAAAGAATTTTCCTTAGTAATGTAGCTATATAGTAACATTGTGGGACAAGGAAGATGTCATTATGAAAAATCTCGTTATTTATCCCTTTGCTTAATTGGCTTATAGTGTATAAGTAACAAAATACATTACTGAAATGATGTTTTTCACAAGAAATGAATTTCTATTTAAACTCTAATGCCTTACTCTTAAGGTGCAAATCATAAAATTTGCCTGTAACAGAAACATATCAAACATGTCCAAATATATATCTATAACTATTGTATTTGATAATGAGGCTTTTGGAATTGTATTTAAAAATTCTATGATATTAATATTCCTATAATATATGAGATATTTTTACTATACAATACACACGTGATAGAATGAAGCACTGTGATAACTAATAACTGATTAATATTTAGGTTTATTTATAATGTTGCACAAAGAACAGTGCCTTCTCACATGTACTTGTAGTATTACATGAATGTAGAAAAATTTTCAATCGATATTTATATGCTATCAGTAGATATGTACAATTAACTTGTTTAGTATTAGATATATTCTTGAATGTATATTTAGTTTCCTATATATGCTTTGTTATAAGTAATAAATATTTATCTCATCTTTTGTTTGTGTGTATCCTTATCAAATACCTATTATTGCTCCTTTTAAGCCTAAATTTCTCCTCGTATGGCTTAGTTTATAGTCGCCACGTTCCTGTACAACCCGGATGGTATAGGTATTTATTTCTGTGGAGACAATATAACCTGTCTCTTTTACTATTATTATAAATGTAAGAGTTTGTGAGAATATATGGATGGGTTCGTTATTCTTCCACGCAAAAACTGATGCACCTTTTTGGTTGAAATTTGGTGATACCCTGGATTAACTCACGGAAGCTAGTCTATAATATAAAAATGATTCGCGAAATGTGTTGGTAAGCGCATAACTCAAGAACGCCTGGACCAATTTTGTTATGTTCGTTATTATAAGGAGAAGGTTCTTACGAGAGTACAAAACTTTGTAAAAATATAGGGGAATAGCGGGAATCAACAGCACTTTCGGTGCCGTGGCCGTTCACTTGCAAAACAAATGACTGACAACGAGGTAGTCGGATACCCGTGCGAAGCAAGGGCGATCTACTAGTTTATAATAAAAGCGAATCACCTCAATGTACATAACAATATGTACTATTTTGCAGTTCTCCTGAATTGATTCACTAAAATTGTGTAATTTTTATTTTTAAAATATGTTATTAATGCTAACACTAGGTTCGTATGAAAGAAAAGGTTCGACACATTCACTGCGACATCGAAAAATAACAAGCGGTCGAAATAGAAGTTAAAAAAAGACAATATTTTTTACAAAATTCTTGTATTTATATAAATTTAGAGCTGTAGTTTTATGTTTTTGTAAGTTATTTATTGTGGCATTGCTCTCATTAGATTATCTTTCCCGCGTTCCTCGGGTGGCGGTGGAGGGTTGTACTCGAAAAATTTCGCAATGAAATACCTGTAACAGAATATCACAATCGAATAGTAAGTTGCATACATGAAGAAATCTGCAAAGAGGATCTGATAAAGTCAAAGAAAGGTGCTGATTGCTAGTTGCATTTTATCGTCGAAACCAGAAGTCATTGGGTAAGGCAATGTCTGGAATATTGTAGCTATTAGCTAATGTAATATAATGATGACGAAGCAAATCTCATAATAATGTCACAGTGATGACATTGGTATAGATTCTGGAGTAACGTACCACACAAGTATTTCAACGGTGATGAGCAGAGCAGCGGCGGCAGTTTGCGCGGCGACCCGCGCTGGTTCCGCGGAGCCGCGCAATACGGCAGCGAGCATGGCATCGCTGGCATCTGATGCAGTCTCTAATGCCGCCACCAACAGTGCTGGGGCAGCCAGCCAACGAGCCCCTCGACGCCACCAGGATTGCTGCAAGGAAACATCCGCAAAAAGTAAAAAGGACTGTGTAAGTATATACCCTCTGAAAAGTTTTCGGTGAATGTCTTGTTCGTCTTAAGTGCAACTTTCAAAGAAGGTTCGGGTCTGGTTTTGCTTTTTCTTCGCGTTCGTCTTACAAGGCTATTAGACCACCTCGAACCCAATATGGGTGATGTTGTGGAAGTTACGGGTAGGTACTAGCACGAGCGTTACAAGTAGGTAACTAAATGGTTTTTAGTCAGTTAGTCTTACACTCCCTCTACCAGGGTGGAAAAGCAATTTGATGATTTTCCCCTCTCTAAAGAAAAATATAGATAATACCTATATCCAACTACAGGAACCATAATAAGCATCCTGGTCTTATCGTGACCTTATAGGTTAATACAGAATTGCAAACTTACTTTAGACATAACAGCCATCAGTAAAAGCAATGAGGTCGTTGTAGTGACAAACGCACTTAGTTTCCCGTAACCCATAAGTAGTCGAATCGTTGGCTTAGTAATTCTGAAATGGAACATTCACTTTACACAATATCGAAACGAAAAAAATTCTGCAGTTATTTTCTTTCACTTTCTACCAAATATTTTAAGCTCAAGTATGTTACCTATTTGTCTTTATGGTTGACGAAGTGGCCGTTACCGGCTGCTTTGCTACGCGTTTCGATTTTGAGTCCCACAAAGAACAATTCGACCTATCCGTAGAATAAAGTTACTTTTGCATAATTGTGACTTTAGAGGAGAGCGATTTGAAATTTGCCAAGAACAAAATCAGTCATAACATTTTTATTAATTGTTCTATTTGATTAATTATTTTTCTAAACATGTAAAATACTATTTAGCATTGTTTGTCATAACAATATGAGATAAAAAACTGTTATTTTTGGCATTTGCAGTGTTTATGTTCATATGTGACTATTTAATATGGAAATGCCTGCGTCGTATATATACATATAACTTTATTCTTGGTAAAAATGATAGCCACATGTGTACGTGTAACTTTGTTCTATGTACATAAGTATTGTGTTCATAAGTTATATGTAATAACATGGGATAATATATTAATAAAAAACAAAATTTTTAGTTAAACATTTATTTTTTAGAATTCAATGTAGCTGTGTAATTATATTAGAGTAACATAATTATATTTTCTTATAATAATTAGTACCCGTTTTATTAGGAACTATAGATATAAAACATATCAATAAAGAGTATAAAACTTGAAAAACAATTAACAAAGTAGGTAGGCAGTAAGCTCAAAAAACTATTACTTTTTTTATAATTGTATTAAAAATCAAAATATAAATCTTCCAATCAACAATAACCAATCAAAAGTCATCAAAAAACAAAATTTTTAGTTAAACATTTATTTTTTAGAATGCAATGTAGCCGTGTAACTATATATATATTAGAGTAACATAATTATATTATTTTCTTATAATAATTAGAAAAGTACCCGTTTTATTTAGGAACTATTAACAAAGTATGCAAAAAAACTCAAAAAACTCAAACTCAAACTCAATTGTTTTTTATAATTGTATTAAAAATCTAAATATAAATCTTCCAATCAACAATAACCAATCAAAAGACATGTGAAAGTAGGTTATAAAAAGAAAAAAAACTTAGTACATATTAAAATATTGCTGATATTATTCTTCACTATCGCTACTAACAACATCATTATTTTCATTGTTATTCCATGGTAAACATCTAAAGAAATCTGCATGTTGAGACGGTATAATTCCTAAATTAACTAAACTAATGAGATCCTTATATTTGTCTTTGGATAACTTGAGTGGCATTTTATAAGCTACTTCTAAAGTCGGTAAAGAAGATACAGCATTGCGGCGGGTATTTGAAGTTATAGTAACAGTTTTATACTCGGTTTCTGTATGATCACATTTATACAGTAGCTTGTTAGGTTCTAATTTATCGACAAATACTTCTTTCACACAGTTCCACGTTACTTTAACCCCTTCTGTGTTTTTACTCCATACCTTATTATTCACGTGAGATTTTAATTCAAAGAAATGATTCTTTGTCATGTTCCGGACTTCATACGGTTCTCCTGTACATTTAGCCCAGCGGACAAGCAAACGCCATTCGTCCGGAGTATATATTGTTTTTTTTGCAGCCTCTTTTTCTATGAGAGCGTGCACGCTATCCCCCTCGTTTTGTGTGTGCCCCTTTTCCAGAAACCTATGTCTTATTGACACATTAAATTTTTGGCACAGTAAGTGTAAAGAAAGAACACAAAACGGTTTCTATTTTGCCCGGCGCAGTTGTCCGACCAAAAGCGAAATTCCTTAACACCATTTTGTACACTTTGCTCTATAAAATCCAGTAAGCAACTGCCCACTTCATTTGCTCCTCGCTTTGCCACCGTTTCGTCCCACATGTAACAATAGGCTTTCTTCCTACCCATATCAAAAATGGTGAAATCCAAGCAAGATAATTTACGCTTGTAATAAAACAGACTGACTTGACCATGAGGACATGATAACACTTTTTGAAAATCAAAAACAGCAGATAAAATTTTACCATTGGATTCAACAGCATCACGTTTGTCAATATTTTTTAGTTTACGAGCTTTATTTTTATTCGACAAATGTGTATTGTATGCTTCTTTTTCTTGATCAGTAGGATCACTTTTGTTCCGAAAAATATGACAAACATCACACTGGTCTTTTTTGTGAATGAAAAACCCTAAATTGAAATTTTTATTGACGATATCCCGATACTGACGTTCAGTAACTGCTTTGCTAGAATATATATTATTATCTAAACTATCAAACCAATCCTTGTAAAGTTGAAACATTTTTGAAATATTTAAACTGCCGTCCAGGTATAGCTTCGTAGAACCCTTGCGAATATAGTGTGATTCAACGGGAGCAAAAGATCGCACATGATCACATACACTCTTGATTGTGTCAGGCTTTATTATCTGATTGTGATTAGTATGGCGTCCTCTCATATCTTCCTCTATAATAGTACTGCCATCGTATTTTTCCCAAGATGTTTTGATTATTTTGCCACTAACCGAGAGAGTATTTAGGAACATTGTTTTACAGACATTGACTACTCCACTATGGCCTTGCTCGTGATCAGGTATAACAGGTAAGAAGTATTTAAAAGTAAATTTACGATTGTTAGGCACTTCGCGATTCAAGCATCTATTCTTCAGTAGTTTTTTAGAATACTTAACTACAAAAGCCCATTGCTTTTCTCGGTTTCCCAAACGCCAGAACTTTTGAAAACAAGCATATCGTTGATCATGCGTAATTTTTTCAAAGCATCGGTATCTGCACTGACACGGAGCACCTAAAATTTTATCGTCCACTACCTTTCCTTTTTTCGTGACATATTTTTGACCAATGTTTTTTAAATATTTACGTTTCACGTCAGACCACTCAGATGTACGTCGCAACCGTTTCTTAGATCTTTTCTTTGGTGGAGCAGAGAGTTCATCGTCACTGTAATAGTTAGTAGTGCTATGGGCATTACTAGTTGATGGTGACATAGTCCAGTGGTCATCATCATGAGTCGGACAAAAGGCATCATGGCAATTTTTATGAGTATTTAAAGGAGAAGGCATAGGCGTAGAATTAATGTAATGTGTCGGAATTGAAGGGAGGTCGCCAAAGCTGATAGCTGGTGAGTTTTCAAAGCTAGACGGTGCTTCAAGCGCAAAAGGCGTTAGATCGTTGTTATTGTCAAGCATGTGCGAAAATTGTTGGTTATCTGTTAAAGAATTTTCAGCAACATGAACTAATATAGAGCTCGATGCGTCGGTAGCATTAGTTGATACATTATTTTGTACAGGACATAATTGAGATAACTGAATGTCTGTGACCTTGTCATCAGTAGATCCAAACACGTCTTCCCATACTTCGGAGAGGTCTTTTTGAATGTTTTCAGCTCCTTCTGGCACTGGTGACGTTGCTAAAACTTCATGATTGCCCGTGCCGGTTTCTAAAAACAAATAATATATATTCGTAATATAACAAAAGTCAATAAAATGAAATGGCGTGAAATTGTTGTAAAAAGGTCTCCATAAACTAAAAATAGAAAAATAATTTACATATTGTTAGGATTTCACGAAAATTTTGAGTTGGAAAAAAGGTATATATCTGTATCAAACACAGAAAAAAGTTACAGTTACACATATACCCCATAAGTTTTGAACCGATTCCATCGAAAAAAGTAACATTTGCACATGGAACCCAATTTTTTGGCTTAGTTTCCGAGTAATATAGTAGTAAGTTAAGAAGTGTGTGCTAAATTATTGGTTGATAAACTATTAACACGATTACTTTGAATACGAAAATTGTTTCAAAATATCGATAATTAATGTTTTTAAATATTTTTAAACAATTGGTAAAACTCCATAGAAAAAAGACACATAAAAACTTGGAACCACTAATTTTAATTATTTTGCTTTAGAAGCTTCCAGTTAAGAAAAAAGTTTATAAAATCATTAAAAGGACTAAAGCTTTATTTAAAACAACTTAACATAATACAAGGTTTTGCTTGCTTACCTGGAATATCCATATTTTCATTATTTACCGCAGTGGAGTCGGACATAGCACTATTAGTTTTATTAAGTGTACGCTCTGATACAAGACTTAACATATATTTAGATCGCGCGTTTTTCATTTTGAAATCATAAAACATCTACTTTAATAAAAATACGTATTTATAATTGCCGTTTCAACAAACACGTGCGCACGGGTCGCCTCTCCGAGAACAACGGCACGACTGCCGATGCGACCCCCCGCGCGCTTTGCGTCCGCGTCGATCTAGACGGCGAGTATAGGTACTTTTACTTATATTGCCTTATTCTTTGGAGAAATAAACCACATGTAGCTTTATTCGACTGGTATCTTCGAAACTACATAACATAAAAAAAACGATTTTACCAACATAATATATAGGTCAGATTAGCTTTATAACTACGATAAAAACGATTTGGTATCATAATTACAAATAACTTTGTTCTTCGTATAGGTCGAATTATACAAGTTGGTACTTATGCTAGTCAATACCTGTTTGTTACAGGTCTGGGTATAAGAGCATCCACGTTACCGTTTTTTTTTATCAAATGATTATTTACCTTCTAGCAAAGCTGACGTTGTTAAGTTTCTGTGCGACATCGTCGTCGTCCAGCTCTAGTTCGACGGGTTGGGATGCAAAAGCGCATGCCGACATGGACACCCCAAGGAGCGCCACTAACAATGCTCGCAACTTTATTTTAATGCCGTCCGAATTCTCGCTGTTTACGTAATTCAACTGTAAAGCAAAAAGAAACTCATGATACAAAATAAAATTAAAATATGTAAAATGTGTACCTACCTACAAAAGCTTAAGGTTGACTAAGTATATACATATACATGTATATAGAATGGAATATATTATTATTTACTGGCACCTGTAATTTTCTATTCCTACTAGCATAAGGACTTATATACTTCCTTATAACATAAGGACTAGCAGTCCAGACTAAGTAGGTACGCTATTATACTTTACTAAGATCTTTGTGAGAGACTAGGCAGCTAGAAACAGGTACACCGTGTGTACCAACTAAAACTTACGATCCTAGCAATACTTTTTCTCTTTAATTTCTTAAATAATTTTTAGTTTATATTTAGCGAAACAAGTTGATAGTTAAAATAGGGATAAGTACACATTCAAAAACCAAGCCCTATTAGGTATTGCTTATACTAAACTTACAACATTCGCGTGATTCTCATGTTTGAGCCGAAGCTGATTTAAGAAAGTAATACTTTCCGTTTCCATGTTGGTTCATTTCAACCACCATAAGCCGTCATGGTAACGGTATTGTAACTATAATAATATTCATTCCATGAGTGACCACACGAATTTTCACTTAAAATGTAGAATTGTAAACGTTATTACATAATGTAGCACATATAAAGGTTTGAATGGGTAATGACAGTTAGCGTCCGATATGTTCATTGTCATTGTCAATGTCAAAATAAATTATTTTTAAAACCAGTCACCATTCATAAAGTCGTTACTTCAATGACCTTTTTTGAGGGTTTTTTTGTGAGGGGAAAATCATCAAATGACTTCTCCCGCCCAGGGCCGGGCGGGAGGGAGTGTCAGACTCTTACTGATTAAAAACCCTTCTGTTCCTTCTCCTGCTTTGGGCCGAATCGCGGTGCCTCATTGCGCTTACCCCGCAACCCCGGCTGAACATCAGCTCTATAGGGCCCCGTCTGTGGTGGTCTATTGGCTCTTTGAGGCGCGCGCGGAACGCTACGCGCCGTACGCTCGGGCCTGGTTCTGGTCAGGCGGCGAGATACCCTTACTCGCCGGTTTTTTGAGGGGGGATATCAAATGACTTCTCTCACCATGGATAGGTACGGCGAAACAGATTGTCTGACTCTTACAGAGTAAAACCACCCCGTTCTTTTTTCTGCTCTAGGCCGGGGCCGTGGTAAATTATTGTGCTTGCACCCGCTACCCCAAACTTCACTGTCCCTATAAAAGGTAATTTGAGTAGGCACACAGATCCTTTATACTACATGGATCTCTAAAATATTTTATGAAAATATTATATGATTTTATTTACAACAGAAGAGGTCATTTAAATACAGTCACTTTCTTAGTTACCTTCTTGAGAAACTACAAAAAATTAAAATGCTCACCTTTCAAAAGGCTCTTACCCTAGCTGATGACTGATGATAACTGAGAGTTAGTTACTGTAAACCATCTAATTTCAAACCCCAGATAGATATTAAATACATATTGCAAATACACACGAGCAATCGTAAAGTAATACGCTCAAGGCATCTTCTATCATTATGTGAAATGACTCTTAGACGACTCTTCATCACCAGCACATTTCCTTCCACTGCTGTTATTAGGTCTCTCCAATTATAAGCCACTGAGCTCGATATTCAGCTCTTCTCTTTCAATTACTGGCAGCCACCTTATAGATATCGGCACACCTTACACCTAACTAGCGGAGCCCTACACTACTTTTGCCTAGACTAGAGTGGTATTCACTCCAGCACATGTCTACCCCAACGTTCGTCGAGTCTTAGCAGTGCCAAATATAATAAGAAGTGTTACATTGTTTTAGAGAATGACAAAATATTGAGCAGTGGGCTGTAAACAGAAACAAAAACGGTGCTTATTTACATATTTATTAAGATCGAAATTATAAGTCGCATATACACAGGTATTTTCGGAATACACAAAATTCTTGCAGCCAGTTGAAGCTCATCAATATTATAGCAGGAATTTTATGGGACAGTTTGCCGATAGCTTTAGCATTGATTGGAACAAACAATAGGAGAGCATTCAATATTTTCACAGCAACCATGACAAGTTGGCCTGCTAAATGAGGAATGAATAGAGACGGATTTTCCTGCAAAAATAAAAATAAAAGATAAGGAAAAATAACGTACCTACTGATTTAAGTTTAACGAACACGTATATCTGAATTTATAAAAAATATTGACTTACTCACGTGAAAGAACCGAGAAAACCTCTTCTTGTTTCAGGTCAACGTTCGTTCAATTTCATAGTTCATTCAGGTGAATAAGTTGTTATTTTCAACAATAAAATAAATTTACTACATTTCACGATCGTTACTACATCGACTAAAGTTCCTAAGGTAGTTGTGCCCTTTATAAAGACTTTCAAAAGAAGGCTAAATGATTCAGATATCTCAGAGATTTGAGAGATACACTGACACAGCAGCATGAGCAGAGTTCATTGAAGCACCATTTATAATATTTGGTAACTACTTCAGCAAACACGCATTTCCTACCAGGGAAAAATAAATAAGGAAATCTTACAGTGAAACATCCTACTAAAAGACAGGCGTACTGCACTAGCCCCATAGACGTGGCGATGATCTTCAAGTCATGGTGCAGCATGAAGTTTTCATCTCTATCTTCAGCGTCCGATGAACATGCAGGAGGGAGCTCACCTAAGTGCTTTCTCAAATGATTTGCACTAATAAACTGTAAAAAAAAAACAACCATCTTGAATACATTTAACCTGACTGCACGGTGGGCGCAGTGGCTGGGTAAGTGGTTGCTATGTAACGTGCCGCGGGTACAATTCCCGCACGGAACAACACATGTGATACTATGGCCTCACAGAAACCATGTGTGTATTTTGCCATGTGATTGAGGGTCCCGGTCCCTGTCCAATCTTTAATCCTCAAAACCTCTTACCCCCATAATACCGGCAGCGCACTTGCAACTTCTCTGTTTTTTCAGGGTTTTACATAGGCCGCGTCGGTCGCTAGCATCGGGAATTCCGTCTGTTCGTTTACGTATAACAAACACAAAGAACCACCTTTTATTATATTTGTTTTATTTTTGGTACGACTGTATAAAACACTCAATCATTGAATTGGAGAATCCGGATCATTGGTTCAACGGACCGAAAAATTGTTATAATACTGACCAAGAAGAATAAGAAAATCAAATAGGTTATTAAAACTTACAAAACCTAGTACGCCATACAAGTAAGTGTAGAAAATGCTCATACAGAATGTAGGATGACGGCAGAATAGTCTCGTTCGTCCAAGGTAAGGTTTTAATATAGGAGCCAAAACTTGGTTAAACGGCAGCTTCATCGTGGACGTTTGTATTCCAAAAATGGACTCTTTTTACTTTACAAACATTATGTAGGTAGGTATGCAAGTGTAGGTAATTTATTTGTTCCCCTACATATATTTATTATAAAACTCTTTGATTTACGCGCACTTACGACTAAACTGACAATGTCATACTGACATAGACAATAGATAATTTTAGGTTTATTTTTATTATTTTATATTTCCTACTTATTTGTAATAGTCTCCTTAGTTAAACGGCGAAATATGAAAATATGTCCCTGCAGCATAGTTACCGGCATAATTATATCCATTACCTACTTTCTAAATTAAGCTATGGATCACCACAGACGGGGCCCTATACGGCTGACGTTCAGGGGTGGCGGGGTAAGCGCAATGAGGCACGTCGACCTCAGCCCAGAGCAGGAGAAAGAATGTGAAGGTTTTTAGTCAGTGAGAGTGTGACACTCCCGCGCATCCCTGGGTGGGTGAAGTCTTTTGATGATTTTCCCCTCACAAAAAATAAAATAAAAGGCGTTTCTACATTGAACAAAAAAAACTTAATTACTTATGGGAAACTACGAAATAAATAGTAATCCGCCAGATTACCCCCAATGCGACCAGAGTTGATGTTCAGCTGAAAAACAAATGCAAGCGCAGTTATTTTTCGCGACCTGGTTCTAACAAGAGGAAGGAACGGGTTGGACCTAGTCACTAAGAGTTAAAAACTCTCTCCCATCTAGGGTGGGAAAAGTCATTAGACGATTTTTCATCCATAAAAAGGGTATTCAATTATATAGAAGTAACTAATCGAGCAAAATATCGTGTTTTGGTTGTACATTTTCGTACCAAGCTGTTGTCTCTATTTATTTGATGTTTTCTGTACTTCTAAAGTTTCGACCTATTAATGATACTTTTGGTTATCTACAACGGTGTGTACCAATTTAGGTCAATATGGATCTCTTGATCATGATCGAGTCTACGTCGAGATCCATCGTGCAATCGTCTTTAAAGTAGCAAATCACGCCCGGGTTCCACTTATAGAGTTTAATCTATGCGCCCGGGACTGCGGAACCTCCATGGCGGAGACGGTGTCAAATCCCACGGCACGGCCCGCGTCGGCAGTGTTTTTCTAGGCGTGATTCCTATAAAAATTACCCTACATACTGAACTTACAAGGAAATAGTTTAGTATTGTTTTTTCAGAATCCAAAATATATAGATTGCTGAACTGTGCAGATATATTTAGCAGACATTTCTGCTAAATGTTACTATCCCTGGCTTTAGATTCCGTTGAAAACTTAGGTGGTTTCAATAAAATATTATATTATATAAATAGAAGGTCAGGACTGCGAAGCCAAAGAAAATGCGTGACGAAAAAAACTACATAGGTACAAAACATAAAACAGACTACATACAAATATACAAAACTAATAAATTGCGTGAATATACTCTGCTTTACCATTTCATTCCTAAGTATACTTACTGGAAAAACGAAACACAGCACCTGCTAAATGATAATTAAGACGGGGTGAATAGACACAAAAGAGCGGTGAATTAATTAAAAATAAAGAAAATTCGCCAACATCTATTCACCCCTTTCGCGTATCTATTCAACCCTCAAATTCTATTCACCCCGCTTTACGTTATGTCGATTATATAAATTGCTCACATCCAATAAGATAATAATGGACCTTGGAGTCTTGAGTTTAGATTGAGGAGCCATATTAAAAGTATTGTATATTCTTTCATTTTAGCGCTACACAAGCAAACTTTTTAGATGGTAATGTGCGAAATTACTAAATGATACAAAATTTTCATAAAAATTCATTATTACCACAGTCTATTACTTAACGAGTTCCAGGTGCCTACACAATTCAAATGTTTAGATTAAGGAGCCACTTTTGCATTTAAGTAACTAGTGATTCACTGCTGAATCTAGAATTTGTGCTGCAAAATAGGTTAAATTGCTGATAAATAATGGTGAAAGATTTTAAGATCTGATGTGGCTTCTCACTCCTTACGTAAATAAAACGATTAATATTTACACAAGAACATTTTAATACTAAATTTGTCCAAATTTGCAGTAAGTACATTCTTCTACCTTTACCGAATAAAACAAATGGAAAAAAGAAGAATTAGAAGAATATTAACAAAAATAGCGTAAACATGAAATTATAACTAAAGAATATAGATGTTGTCACAATACGAGTCTTTCTTAAACATATCGGAACATTGCGTAAAGAGAGTATTTTGAATGGCGAATTTAGGAGGCATACGTTGACAACCAGCTATAATCAAATGTCCCAAAAACCCGTGCAATGTTGAAGATGCCGCCACAAACTTGCCTTCAGCATCAATAGTGAGAAGTTGTGCACTGTCGTTTTCATTGGATTTTACACTTTTAGTTTTTCTATTATCAGGAAAACTTGTGTCGGGAAAAATGAACGGAGGACCAAGATTATCAGAAAACACAGAAAAGTCATAAAACAAAACCACCTGAGCTGTATCGGACTTATTCAACATGTCTGGTTGTGTTTCTGATTTATTAAATCCATCTGTGTTATTCACAATGCCATCCACTTTATGGGTATTATTTACTTGTAAAGCCTTAAGAGATTCATTAATTTTTAATACCTCTAGTTCGGGGCTTGTTAGAGTTTTATATTCACTCTTTTTTAATTCGGTATTATTTTGTGGATTCATAACTTCAACAAAAACATTCGAAACGCCATCGGATCCGTTACGTTTATCATTTGCTGAAGCAAAAACATCCCGTTTATTCTTATTTGTACGAACCATAGCCTCATTTGGAGATCCAGTCTTTTCTGAAGCTATTATTTGAGGATAAGCAAAAAAGTTAGTAAAAGATGCCCGGGTATCATTCAAAAGCTGGTGTATTAATGCATAAAATACAGTGCAAAACTCGTTTTCTTCACGATCGATTTTATTTAATGCATTTTTATATTCTTCAACGTTTATACCATCATTATGTTGTTTCAATATGGCAGCAATTCTACGATCTTCATGTTGGCGACTCAAATGATTGTTATTAAATGTAGTTAAATCCATGGCGATCCCTCCACTTTGCCAGACTGAGAAGACCCTCGCGTAGAAAAGTAAATAGGGGAGTGGTATAGATCTCCATTTGTATTTCAGAGCTGTCATTGACATGTACTTGCTAAGAGACATTATAGTAATATTGACATTTTGGTGTTTTTCTTCGAAATCTTCAATTTTCTTCTTAATAATATTATAATCTCCTAATTTCGGGTAAGAGAAGGGAGTATTGCTGCCAGAATATGGGATTAGTTTATTAATAAATCTAGGATGCCTCGGCCCTCTAAAAGCAGTTTGTAGAGAATCATCGTTGAGGAAGTAAACGTGGAAATGCAAACCAGGGTACTGTTTGGCCATGCTTGCAATATAATCCTCGTATATAAGGAAAGGAACAAAGCCTCCTCGTGGCACAATGTGATGATAGAAGACATCGCTTCCAGGCTTAGTAGAATTACATTTAATGATCAACACGGGTTGCCTTCGATACGCCTCCATGCCCAGGGCATAAAACACTAAGAAGGATATCCCCAACAAAATCAGCGTCATCCAACAAGCCGAGATGTACTCTGAAAAAGTATTTTCAAATTAAAAATTGCAGTGGCATTATAGCAAATGTCTAACAAGCAACCGATGTAGGATTTAACGTAAAATTTGTAAGTTTTAAGAATTTCTTTTTCCTATTTATAGACTAATGTGTAAAAAATAAATTCAGATTCTTAGAAACTAAAAAATGTAAGGATCTTTTATTTTTAAAATGAGGTTTAACGATGTATTAGTGCTTCGCATTTGAAAATGAGTTATATTTCCTTATTCGTAGGCACTAAATGTGTATCAAAAAAAAAATGTAACAACAATTTGGAAAATTAGTGGTGCAAATTACTTTAATAGTGTTCCGGTAAATGACAAGCTATTCTAGTTGTTGTAGCAGCAAAACCCAGTCGTTGTAACGTAAAAAATGTTTTTCTCTTTAAAATGTAAATATTAAATGGTGAACATAACATTTATAAGTTAAAATAAAAAACGCAGGAACAATTCAAACAATTTCAGGTACGTTATGCCACTGATGGTCAAAGGCCTCTTATTATGAAAAGGAGTGAATACGGATTTTCTCGCTTGCTATAGACGTAAGCCCAGTCTCCTTATTAAAAAATGGGAATAGTGGCTGAATAGTTTTAGGTTGTCTATTGTATATATAGCTTAAATATAAATAAAATGTTAACCAGGCCAGCGGACAAGCCAGGATTGTTTCGGAGCACAAGTGACCCCCCAGCCTGGACTGACGAGAGTTGGAGTAGGTTGTACCCCGCCATCACCACCGCCAGTGTCTGACTTCAACAGAGGATACTGTTCGTCTTGTTTTGTCTGTGGAGCGCGCTCCACCATTGTAGTTTTCTTCTGTAAGTAATTATAATCAATTTTTTATAATTGATCATTTCCATCATCGTTTCATCAATTTCGTAATTTCAATCAGACTACCTCTTCAATATACCTACCTATATACCTTTTTTTTTTTTTTTTTTTTTGTGAGGGGAAAATCATCAAATGACTTCTCCCGCCCAGGGCCGGGCAGGAGGGAGTGTCAGACTCTTACTGACTAAAAACCCCCCTGTTCCTTCTCCTGCTCTGTGCCGAGGTCGCGGTACCTTATTGCGCTTACCCCGCAGCCCCGGCTGAACATCAGCCCTTTAGGGCCCCGTCTGTGGTGGTCTATTGGCTCTTTGAGGCGCGCGCGGAACGCTACGCGCCGTACGCTCGGGCCTGGTTCTGGTCGGGCGGCGAGCTGCCCTTACTCGCCGACCGCAGGCCCGTACTTACGGTGGCCGGAGATCGTCCCTCGATCCCCGACGCCCGTAGTGTCGCCAGTTGCGGCTGCTGGGGCGTGAGGAGGAGGATTGCTCCCTCACGCGGGCCGCCTCTCTCTTTGCGAGCATGACCGCTTCACAAAAGGAGGAGACGGCGTCCCAGTTCCTCTCACTCCGCACCATGGCCTCGACTAAGGCCGGGCGCGAGAGGTCGCCGCCGCCGATCACTTCCCTGAGGATACGGCGGTGCTCAGCCCAGGCAGGGCATACCGCTACCGTATGCTCCACCGTATCCTCTAGGTGGTCCTCACAATGACGACACTCGGGCGTTTCCTCCCGCTGAATCCGAAACAGGAACCTACCGAAGCTGCCGTGCCCGGTAAGCACCTGCGTCAGACGGAAGGTGAGGACGCCGTGGCGTCTCTCAAGCCACTCCTCAAAGAGGGGTCTTACCGCTGCTATGGTAGCGTGCCCGGCCCTCGGTTGCGACAGTCGTTGTCTCCACTCTGCCATGAGATCTCGCCGGAGCTCATTCCGCCACGCATTTATTTGGCGCGGCAGAGGATCTTCGCCCCGGCGACGCGCGTCTGCGCGCAAACTGTAGACGCGCGCGAGCGCCTTCGCTTCTAGATCCCACGGCGGTGATCCGGCAAGGAGGTTCGCCGCCTCCCCGGAGATCGTGCGATACCCGCGGATTACTCGTATAGCCATGACCCTCTGGGACGCGACCAGCGTACGAGCCGGCCGCCGCTTCAAGTCCGGCGCCCACACAGGGGCACCGTAGAGGGCCATGGATCGCACAATCCCCATATACAACCTCCGGCAGGAGGCGTTTGGCCCCCCGAGGTTGGGAAGGAGCCGCTTGAGCGCGGCCCCAGACCGTTCCAACTTAGGGGCCAAACGACGAAAATGCTCCGTGAAGTTCCATCGGCTGTCGAGGACGAGACCAAGGTACTTCATCGCCGACTCGACGCCGATGGTAACTCCTCCTGCCGTTACTTGGGACCCACCTGGAGGTGGCGCGCTCCGACGGCCATAGAAGCACATGGCCTCGGACTTGTGGAGCGCCACCTCGAGTCCCAACTGCCGGATCCTTGCAACGACTGTCGCAACCGCTTGTGACATCAGGTCGGCCGCCGCCTGATGCGACCTCCCGTTCGCCAGCACCAGCGTGTCGTCAGCATAGCAGACAATGCTGACGCCGCTCGGGAGGTCGGTGCGTAGCACCCAATCGTACCCGATGTTCCACAGGAGAGGTCCCAGGACCGATCCCTGTGGGACACCGCGCGACACCTCTCGCCGATTCCACACGCCCCGGTGACCGGGGTAGATGACGCATCTGTCCGTCAAGTAAGCCTCGACTACACGACGGAGATAGGCAGGCACCCGGTGATACCGGAGTGCCTCCAAAATGCAGCTCCAGGGCAGCGAGTTAAAGGCGTTGGCGATGTCCAGAGACACCGCCACGACGACTCGCCTCCCGGCCAACGCTGTCCCCGTCGTGAGGTCCCTCACGCGCATGATGGCGTCCACCGTGGAGCGCCCTCTGCGGAAGCCGAACTGGCCGTCCGCTAAATCCGGCCCCCTTCCAGACAGGTGCCCGACGAGGCGGTCTGAGATTATCCTCTCGAACAGCTTTCCCACCTCGTCGAGCAGCACAATGGGCCGGTACGCGGACGGAGAGTCCGCAGGACGCCCCGGCTTCTTCACGAGGACCAGTTTACCCGTCTTCCACGACAGCGGAAACTGGCCTCTCTCCAAACATGCGCTGAACAGACCAAGTAGTCGAGGCCTGAGAGCCTCCGAGGCCAGGACCCAGACCTTGGCATGCAGCCCGTCAGGTCCTGGGGCGGTATTCTTGCCGCTCAGCCGGCGCACCGCCACTCTCAAATCTACCTCGGTCACTTCCGGAGCGGATTCGTCGTCGTCGTCGATGTAGCCCGCATTGGGCACCGCAGGGGGCGGGGGCATAGCCGGAGGCGTGTAACCCATCTGTGGTCGGGGGAATAGCGCCCCAACCACTTCGTCCACGACCTCCGGCCGGAGACTCTGAGTCAGTGGGGGCGCCCAGGTGCGGAGCTTATCACGCACCATCCGGTAGGGGCGTCCCCACGGGTCTCTGTTCAGAGTCTCCAACATCTCCTCGCGGGCCCGATCTTTGGCCCGCCGGATCTCCACCCTGAGGGTGGCCTTCGCCGCCCTGTACTCCTCGTATAGCTCCGCCTCTCTGGTTTCAGCGTCCAGAGGGCGGAGACGGAGCCTGCGGTGCCTGGTGTATCGGCGTCGCGCTGCGGTGCACTCACCGCGCAGGTCTGCCAATTCCTGCGACCACCAATACACCTGGCGCTTGTGTTGGCACGGTCGGATCCGGGGCATCGCCACGTCGCACATCCTTGACATGGCGTCCTGGAGCCATCTCGCCTCCTCGTTAATGTCGGCTGGCCTGACCGGTGGTATTACCCAGGCCTGCACGACTGCGGCTTCCAGGAAAAGCTCCCGGTCCAGTTGCCTAAGCGCCCAACGCGGGCCACACGGGGCCTGTCTGACTGGCGGGTCTGCGGACTCGGCGGAGACGTCGAACCGTATATACCGGTGGTCCGAAAACGTCTCCACCTCCTCCATGACGCGCCAGTCAACAACGCGCGATGACAGAGCGGGGCTAGCAAACGAAATGTCCACCACTGACTCGCCCCGCATCCGTACGCACGTGGGGACAGAACCCCGGTTCAGCACGACTAGGCCTGTCTCCAGAGCCCAGTCTTCGACCATCCTTCCCCGGACATCAGTGAGCCGGGAACCCCAAGCCAAATTCTTGGCATTGAAGTCCCCGAGGACCAACACGGGGAGGGGACGGAACCCGACGACGACGGTGACTAACTCCCTGAGGGAGTTGTGGAACTCGACGAGAGTTCGGTTCGGAGAGAAGTACACGCCCACCACGGCGATCTCTCCGAACCGAGCCGCGACGCAACCCCTGCCTCGCTGAGGCCCTTCGGGGGTTGGGGTACCGGCGGCGGCCGACGAGATGATGGTCACCGAGCCGTCCAGGTCTGACACCCAGTGTTCCCTGGCTGGAACGAAGTACGGCTCGGAGACCACAGCAACATTGATCGACCACTGCGCCATGCTCTGGAGCAGGAGATCCTGAGCAGCGACGCAGTGGTTGATGTTCGCCTGGAGGAGGCGTAATGGAGCCATTATTGGGTATCCATCACGACCTCCTCTCTGACGGCAGCGGCGACAGCAGCAGTCGCAGGGGTGTTGGCGACTGCGGCGGCAGCGGGAGCGACGGTGGGAGCGGTGGAGGTGGCTACGGGCCTACCTTTGCTCCTGGGCTTGGTGGGGGGGGAGCAGGTTTTGCCCCCAGCCCGGTGATCGGCCGGCTTGCCAGCCGCCGCACATACTACGCAGTGCGGCGGGGCGGTACAAGCGCCGGCCCTGTGACCGGGCTGACCGCAGCGGAAGCAGCGGTCGCTGCGGTCCACCTCTGAGGTGCACTTGGCACCCACATGGTGACCAATGAGGCAGCGGAAGCACCTCAAAGGTCGGGGTTCCAGCAGCTTCACCTGCGCCGAAACCCAGCCCACCAGGAGCCTTTTGCCCTCCGACAGTTTTTTGGCCGCTGTGACGGGGCAGCTCACTACCACGGTCCGCAGCCCCGTATTGTCCGGGCGGATGGTGCCTGCCTTCACCTGATCAGCAGGGCACCCCCCCGTCCTTGCGACAGCGGCCGCCACCTCGTTCTCCGTCACGGAGTCATCCAGGCCCATGATGCGTAGCTCCAAGCATTTGGTGGGCCTGGACACGCGAGCCTCATCCGCCGCAAGGCACGTCCTGAGCCTCTCGGCAAGGGCGTCAGCGGATGGGCCGCTGGCCGCGCCGGGGACCTCCAGAAGACGGGCTCCAGTCGCGGTGACCCTTACCGCGAACCCGTTAGGGGCCCCGAACTCCGCGGGAGTAACCGTCCCCTTCAATTTGGCGAGGACGTCGCCGTATGTCACCCCCTTCTTAGCCGCGTCCGGCTGTAGCGTGATAACTACAGCCGAAGATTTAGGGGTGAGGAGCATTGCCGCAGCGCGCTTCTCTTTGCGTCGCTGCTGCCGCCGCTGCCGCTGCTCCTTCTTGCGGCGCTTCCTCGCCTCTTTGGCGCTCCTTCTCGCCTGCCCGGCCACCTGCCACTCGTCGCCATCGGTGCGCAGCTCTGATCGCGGGGTTGGGGCTGCAACGGCTGGAATTTCAGCTGCTGCGCCTCTTCGCTTGCGGCTATTTGGTGCCAGAGGCACAGCAGGAGCCGGTGCCGGTTGAGCCATAGGCGTCCTCGTCAGCGGCGGGGCTCTCGGTGGTTTCGCCGCAGGGGGCACTTTCGCCCTTTTCTCCACCGGAGCGTCTGCTCTGACGCCGCGGCTAGGTGGCTGCTTCGTCTTCGCTGCCGCGGCTGCATAAGTGCCAGTTGCGAGCGGGGGTCGAAGGAGCCTACCCTCCAGAGCGTCGAAACGCTGCTGGAAGGCGGCCATCTCCTGCCGCATGAGGCCAAGAAGGTCGGCCTCCACTGGCTGCGAGGGTTGGGGACGACCCGCGCGAGCAGCGGCGAGTTCCGCCTTTGCTGCACGAAGTTCCGCCTCCAGGGCAGAGTTCGCAGCCGCTAATCGGGCCAGCTCGCGCCTCATTCCGGCCATCTCTTTTTGCAGAGCGGTCATCTGCCGCTCTGCTGAGCCCTTCTGGGATACCGCCGACATTATTGCGGCCTCCGCGTGCTTAAGCACTCCGTTCCTGCCAGCCTGGGTTTTTTGCCCAGCCAGCATGCGGAGTGCTTCCTTAACCTGGAGGCGGAGGCTCTCAGCGCCGCCTGCAGAATCCTCACCTCCGGACACCTCCATCTCCGAGGAGTCCGAGGGGGCAGCCTTTCCCAGGGCGCTCCCCTCCGCTGCCAGCCGCTCTGCCGGCTCAGAGCGGCTCCCAGCCGCTCTTGTGGAGCCCTTCCCCTTGCCCCTACCCCGCGCAGCCGTGGGGATTTTGGGGGCTGGGGCCTCCTGCTCGATGGAGGACGGCTCTCGGCCATCCTCCAACCTGGGACGTTTGAAAACGCCCCGGTCTTTTTTGTGGCGCAGCGCGATGCTGACGCCAGACAATGATGAGTCGGACTCTGAGTCCGACTCCTTCCTCCCCGGGGCCCGTGCCCGAGACTTGCTGGACGGGGCCAGCGCCTCCCCACGAACCCGAGAGCCAACCTGGCCCTCGCTATCGCCTCCAAGCGAGCTGACCTCGCTTGCCTTCTCCTCACCGGTAGGTGGATTTTTATTATTTTTGTGTTTAGACATCTCCATTGAAGTCCCACGAGTATGGGGGAAATAAGAGGTCCGCCCAGGGAGAGCCCCCTGTCCCTGGGTAAGTGTGCATTTGTCTCCCAACTAGGGGGTCCACCGGTCCCCTAACTGGGGGTGCGCTCACGACTGATCCTACTCCTCAGCCATACATACCCTCGCCGCGCACCAGAACTTAGTATTGGAGGAATTTTTTATAGAGGTTATCTTCCTCGCGGTCCGGGCGGTTAAGCCAAGACCCTCGTCCCGGTCCGAGTCATAAAACATGACCATGATCTCTTCCCGGATTACGATATCGACGGGTGCAGTCGGGCGCAGCTAGTGCCCCGATGCTACTCATTGGCAGGGTGAGTGCACAACGAGCGCCGCCCTTGTTTCTCCGCCCCGCTCTCTGCTAGGTCCAGAGAGTCGTGCGGAGGAACGCCCCCACGGAGGCGTAGACTCTATGCCAGCATAGAGCCGGTCGCCTCTAGAACCCGACCGGGTTCTCCGCCCGGCCAGAAGTTCGCTGCGGGCGACAGTCAAACCAACCCTGTCACCATCCCGTTAGGGAGACTGTCGCCCGCACCCAGGGTGCACCACGGGGAGGTCTTCTGGCACGCACCCCACCTATATACCTTGCATATTTAAAAATTGAAACAACTTGCCTGCCACCGTTTTCCCGTCCAATTACGATTTAGGTGTCTTCTAGGCTAGAGTGAATAGGCCCAATAACTTAGTGCGCCTTATCATCAACGATTGCATCACTGCTTACCATCAGGTTGTATATGGTATGGTTTAGAAAAAAAATTGCTGTAGTTATTGCAGCTCGTAGACAGAATGTTGTATTGTAACACGTATGTCAGGTCAGCTCTTTCGTATTACTTTGACGGTCAAATTATGTCACACTAGTGAGAACATTACGTCAAGAGCGTTTATACCGCGCGGATTTTTCATACTAGCTGTCAAGTAAAAACTCACGGAACCTTTGAACCGATTAAGAAAACTTGGTACTCACACATTATGTCATAGCCTTTGATTATTAATATGTCGTCATAGCCTAGCAACTTAATTTTTGAAACTTGTTTATAGAGGCAAGAACAAGCAATTTTAATTTTGGAACTGCTCGATTCACGGAAACCTCTAAAGATCGTATCCACTTTAGTTTATAAAATGAGTACCAAGTTAAGGTTTTGTAATTTCCTTTTTACTTGAAGGCTTTTTTATAAAAACCCGTGCTGCATTAGGTAATGCTCTTTCCTAAACAGCCCGTGGATCTTCATTGCTATACTATGGGTTTCATCTACAAAAGAGGGGTTACCTAGTCTGATACTTAGATTTAATTTTGAAACCCAATTTCCTTAGAGTAAATCATATCTACTTTTTTAAACAAGTCATGTTACCTTATTCTGCACTTTGGAATAGTATCCACTATATTATTATATAATATTATTGATTTAAAACTCCAATTTATCGACGTTTGTGAAAAATTGCAACCGAGAGAACGACATTTGCAAAAATTTTGTAGACATTCTAATTTTAAAATAAGTGTCAGATATTTTTTTTTATTATGTCCGTAACTTCATATATAGAAAGAAGTATTTATGTGTGTAAATGCTACTGTAGGGCAAATCCCTAGGTAGACCTTTTGAGCCTCGTATTGCACGGGGGCACAGTCTGCGCTGATCCGACGAAAAATGAAGTTTCCTCCGAAATATCGCAAAATTGGTGCCGTGCATGGACAAAACCAGAGGAGTTTTGACTTTTTTTGACTTGGATTTGGAAGGGATAGGAGGAGGGGAAGGATTGGGCCACCAGTAACCTCACTTACACTTCGAGACACAATGCTGTGGATGTTTCACGCTGGTTCTGTGTAAGGTCGTGGTATCACTCCGGTCGAGCCGATCCATTCGTGCCGAAGCTTGGCTCTCCCATACATTATGTACGAAATGAATATTATAAAAAATAAATATAAGTTAGGTATTAGGTCTTTAAACATGAACAGACATAAAATAAATGTTTTCATAAATATATGGATAATAATTATATAGATTAACAACATCTGTTAATCCATCGCTATGCAAAAATTAAAGGATATAATTAAGATTTCTTTTACATCTCATTTCTCCAAATTCCCGTAATCAAATAGATTTATAATGCTGATAATTGCTGTTGTTGTCATTTTTTACAAATAAATGTCACCGCCAATAAATTTAGTAGTATGTTTAACAACTATTTTAATTAGCCGCTTGTCATGTCTATGGTAGTAAGGTACACATAGGTAAACATACGCTTAAAGGTTATAATTAAGTTTTTCGTTTCACAATGTATCCTTGTTTTATTAAAAACCCAATAAGTACTATATAATTACTTAAAAAAAACTTATAATTTTATTTTTATAAATCAATTCCTTTCTTCGATATTTAGTTCACAAGAGTGGTCTCTGGTTCTGAATCACGTATGCAGTTAGGTGCCCACACACAGCCACACGGCACATTAAGTACCATCTCAAAAAAAGAGTATATTCCCTTAAACTTTTTGTTTGGCAACACAGGCTTGACTACTTCTTTTCTCACTCACACGGCGAAACACAACGCTGTGGGTTGTTTCACGCCGGTATTCTCTGAGGCCGTGGTATCACTCCGGTCGAGCCGACCCATTCGTGCCGAAGTTGGCTCTCCTACACTTAAAACACTACTGTCAAAGAGCGGTCTCGCACGATCCTGGCAATCATGAACTGCCGCTCAGAGGCACATGTCGCCGCTAACTACATCTCTGCTACGCGATCTCGTGACGAAATAAAAGCAACAGCTCTCTTATCGGGAGTCGAGCTCACTATTATCCTAGGATTTTTCTGTTAGGCGAAAATCATCAAATGACTTCGCCTGCCCAGGGATAGGCGAGAGGAAGTGTCAGACTCTTCCCGAGCGTAGGTACGGCGCGTTGCATTCCGCGCGCGCCTTACAGAGGATAGACCACTACAGATGGGGCCCTACAGGGCTGATGTTCAGCTGTGGTTGGGCGGTAAGCGCAAAGTATCACCACGGCCTCTGCATAAAGCAGAAGAAAGAACGGGGGTTTTTAGTCAGTAAGAGTCTGACAATCTCGCCTTACCCTGGGCGGAAGAAGACATTCAATGATTTTTCCTTTTTAAAAAAACATAGAAAAAAAAGAGGCTTATCTCCTGACTAAAAATGCCCCGTTCCTTAGCTTAGGTAGCGCGACGCCTGGTCAGAAGTAGGGAGACTCGAGTGTGAGGCGCGTCGCGTTCCACTATTATCACATATATGACACTTTTTTCCAGCCCGGGTTCAAAGCGCAATAATGTACCGCTGCCCAATTCGGATCAAGATACGGGTTGGTTTGTCGTCAATAAGGGTCTTATACTCAAGCCTCATCTAGGGCGGGAAAAGTCATCGGATAATTTTCTGTCAATAAAAAATGGTGAAAAAGGACGTGGTGGCTTTTTGTAAGCTAAATTCTATTCAGGTACTCATCGAAGCATCAATGCCTGGTCAATACTTGAGTGAGTCTGTTAATACCTACAATTTACATCATCAACCTATAAGTGCACACTGCCAAGCGAAGGCCTTATCTCACACGGAGAAGGTATGATCATTAATAACCACGCTTTCTCAAGGTGGATTGGCGATTTAAAACTTTCTATATAAGTCAAAATAAAAAAAATATAATTCAGCAAAAGTCACATTGATTTCGAACCCTTATCATGCGTAAGAACCGAGCGCCTTACCGTCCGGGCCACCACGATCAAAATATACTTAATTATAACAAAAAAAAAAAATATTATTTCGAAACGAAGCTGTCATTGTGATTAAACAATAACATTAAGATAACAAATACAACGTCACTTGTAACAAATTCACCTTCACAAGTGCGAAGTCGGCAAAATTCAGTAACAATTGTAAGTGCAAGACGCTTGTACGTGAGACGAATGCAATGTTGAATCAACAGAATTATGGTGGAAAATGTAAACGTGCAGTGGTCACATATTATATACGAACTTACGTGCATTTTCAATTAATCGTTAGTCATCGAGTGTTAGAACCCCACGCGACCTAATTATTTTACTCTGTGATCATCATACAATTAAATTTAGTTGAAAATTAATAACACAAAAAAGTGATACGGCGGAACACATAATATTATGGCGGTACGTGTTTACATTTTCATCGTTTTTGTGATAACATTATTTATTTATAAACTTTCTTTTGTTATGAAAACTAATCAGAAATATTCAGTGAATTAGGTTTACTTTTAAGCACATACACCTATAATATATATATACACCTGTGTTTATTTACTTTGTTAGCTATGTCATTCAACTCATTTGCAAGTTATTTAAAATAAATCATCTAATTTTGATAAAAAAATCATCTAAGTTTGCTCGAACAAAGTAGTAACTTTATTATATTACAGAAGATATCATATTTAGATCGATAAATCAGCATTATTTGACACGATCTCATACTTACAATTCATCTATTCTTAATAAATATATGTCTATCTATTGGATAATATATCTGTACTTATTAATACCTTTTAATAAGTAGATCTATAAAGGTTTTTATACTCCTATGTTAAATGCATGCCGTGGCAGCCTTTATTAAGGCTACACTACAATATGTTATTATGTGAGTGCTATAACATGTGTTTTCTAGTGTACGCTTTGTTGGTTGTGTCCTCAAATAAATAAATAAAAAAATAAATAGTACTAAAACATTAACATACCAACAAACCGATACAATGTTTTAGTTTACGGCATTCAACCTCTTTTCTTAAATAGTATCTAACCTTTTTCAATTACCAAAAAATCATCAAAACCGCCATTAAAAATTTCTGGTATAATAGAATCATACGTCATTTGTGAATTTGTCGAATATAATAATAATTATTTATTTTAACAGATGTTTTGAATTTTCGATTTGCTGCGCCAAGCCATTTGGTTAGTTATTAGAATAGAACGATTTATATTTTGTTTTTGTTAATAGTAGAACCAATGGCAAGTGATGAGTGAACACTACAAAGAGCAGCATCCATTACTATGTGAGGAGATCTCGGATGAGGAGTATTACAGCCCTCGATACCACCGAAAGATACGCTCCTCGAATTACAGAGGACGATCCAGACACAGCCTCAACGGAGCTGCTTCAATCATAACCCGTTGGCCAGGTACGAAAATCTTAGTTTGTTAATAATACATTTAGTTTTGAACGTAAATGCTCAAATGCCTTATGGTAGAGGTCTACTGACAAATTAATACAGTGTTTATTTTTTATCTCTTTCCAGACCACTGGTCGTCTTTTCTCGCATACTGGTGGATAGGTCTCGGGATGATTAGTCTTACAACTTTCATAATTTACAATAGTCTATTTGGATTTTCCATGATACCATCTGCTAACACAAAACCTTCTAGTCTTATAGTAAGTAACGGTATTGAAAAATCATCCAGAAGCACCTCTTCCTTGCTACCTGATGTGTTCATGCATGTTTTTGTTAAACATAATGAAGAAATAAACTTTAACCAATACATTCCTTACATAGAAGAACTTGCAAGTAAATACCCAAACCTAAAATATCGCTTGATTGTCGTTGTAAATGATACCAACCTAAGTTGGTTGAGTGCTGAAGAAAATAACGAATTAGCACTTAACTCGCTGTGGAAAACCGAACAAAAAAAAGAGCATTCAAATTCTAATGTTGCCATTGAATATGTGACAATGACAAATTACATGCAAAATTCGCCTTTAAAAAAGCACTGGAGAACGTTGCCTAATCAACTTATCGAATTTCTAGCTCGTTCTGTTTCGATCTGGGAGAAAGGAGGAATAGCTTTTAATCCGGTTATTTTGACTCCTAAGTCACAGCATTTTATTTATACAGAAAAAATACATAAGTTACTGAGTAAATATTCAGACACCAATAACGTACCCGGTGATTTCAAGAAAAGTAATAAACCACACAAAATTTTGAAAAAGGAAAGAAAAATAAATAATATACGTGACATAATACACGCTTTGGAAAATGATGACATGTCTGTTAATGCTTTTTCTGAACAAACTCTAACAGAAGCTGAAAGCATCAAATCACCAGTTGTAACAAGAAACGACCATTACTTAAATAGTCCAATAAATAGAGCAGTCAGAAATACGTCCGATAAAGCCAATAAGGCGCTCAATGTCATTGAAATTCGTTCTCATAAGAATTCGTTCCACAATGACGGCGATCTTAAAGAACGAAAACATCGTGTTGAAATGAATAATGGTACTGGGTCCACTGAACCTATACCTAAAACTAGTCAGAATATAACTAAATTGAGCCTGTTACCTTTATTTTTAGAGTTTATATTTCATAATAAAGTTAATGTTAAACCAAGTTCAACGGAAACAACAACATTGAACAGGACACGCAAAAGTGTAATTGAGATACCAAAATCTACAGATACTAAAAGTGCTATATCAACATATTCTTTGGATAACATGGGAAAGAATGTCGAAGATACCTACAAACCAATTATCGTATCGGCAGCAGAAATTTACAACAAATCAGACATCATGTCTTTTAAGGGATCTCCTAGTAATAATCTAGATGGGGTTTTAGAGAAAAGTCGCCTTACAATTGATTTAAAAGGAAATATCATTGCAACCGATATCCCATGTCACGCATTTTTAGGCACGATATTTAGCAATGCCGCGCATCACAGCCAAGAAGAAAGTGTTACTGACTTCATAATTGCTGAACTCACAGTATTTTGTAAAGGCCTTTTATCTTCATGTATGGGTATTGATTTAATTTTATTATAACTGTTTTAATTTTAATGACTGTTATTTTAGGAGTGTATATTAAATAATTTTATTAAATGATCTTCTTTTCATTTTCAATTACTTCTTACAATTATACATTATTCTAATGTTAAAGAAAATAATATCATTTGCAAAATAATTTATTTTATTGCGTGTTTCATTTACATTTTACATAACTTACTACTAATAAAGTCGTGATCAAAATATCGCCTTAACAATCTCAATATTTTGTTCACAAGTTTCTTATTCTTAATCTTATGGCAGCAAGTATCGTTTGTAAAAAAATATTTTAATAAAATTAGACTAGATATTTCTTTTAAAAATCGTTTTTTGTGTAGAGTTACAATTCGGTGTATCCCAAAAGTCAGTTAATCATTGCAATGTAAACAGCGCTTAAATTATAAGGCGGAATTCAATATTGACGTAGGTACTTACTATTGGATTTAGACATCTTGCTCGTGACATTCATATGATTACCTAATAATTACTTTACTAATTTAATGTTTGCACGAATTTACAACACGTTATATCACAAAATGATAAGTCTATTATAAAAAAATCTTATTCTAATATTTTTATGATGGCGCTACATTTTTTCTTTCTACGGGTATCTCCCATCGTCCTGACCAATTGTTTTGTGAACGTTTGCAGTCTCTTACACTGTCGACTGGTTCGCATCTCTTACTAATTGACCAAAAAACGTAGCCCCTTGGACATCGATACACTAAGCCTCTTAATACATTTCTCTTGTCTTTTTTACATTTTAAGAAAGCTGGAGAACATTCACTGTCTTTTTCAAAGGAGAAGTAGCCAGCGCTTGGACATGCTTGACTTTCTTTGGTCACCACAATCTGAAAAAAATAAAAAACATTATTTTCACTGCTTACGGTCTAATTAGGTAGTTTTCATTATTCAGATGTTTTTTTTATGGACTGAAAATACGACAATATTCTGTGCTGACAAGATAGCAGTTGTATTAGTAGGCATGCATAACCTCGTTTATATTTTAAACTATCGTGATTTATCTCATCAATATGTATTTTCACAATGTTTCTATAGTAAACTTATTTAACGGTACTTACAGGTTCTTTATAGCTTTTATCCAATCTTTTAAACCTTCTTTTTTGTGCTATTTCTCCATCGCATTTTTTGTCGGCCTTACTTTCTTCTAAGCAACGTGTTTGACTTTCATCGTAGATAGTATTATTGGGGCATGTAAATACTGCAATTTTAACATCATGCGTATCCTCATCTTCATCGCATTGGTAGAATAAATTGCAATACTTTGGATGTCTTCTAAATGATGTTGGGCATACAAACAGTGATTGGTCTTCATTGGTCTCAGGGCATTTACTGTCTGATGTTGAATTATCGTTTGACTGCTCTGTGGTAGACTGTTCAGTAGTTGACTGTTCAGTAGTCGACTGTTCAGTTGTCGACTGTTCAGTTGTCGACTGTTCAGTTGTCGACTGTTCAGTTGTCGACTGTTCAGTTGTCGACTGTTCAGTTGTCGACTGTTCAGTTGTCGACTGTTCAGTTGTCGACTGTTCAGTTGTCGACTGTTCAGTTGTCGACTGTTCAGTTGTCGACTGTTCAGTTGTCGACTGTTCAGTTGTCGACTGTTCAGTTGTCGACTGTTCAGTTGTCGACTGTTCAGTTGTCGACTGTTCAGTAGTAGACGGTTCTGTGGTTGACTGTTCTGTCGTATGCTGTTCTGTCGTTTGCTGTTCTGTAGTTGACTGTTCTGAAGTTGACTGTTCTGTAGTTGACTGTTCTGTAGTTGACTGTTCTGTTGTTGATTGTTCTGTGGTTGATTGTTCTATGGTCGCTTGTTCTGTGGTCGATTGTTCTGTGGTAGATTGTTCTGTGGTGGATTGCTCCGTGGTAGATTGCTCCGTGGTGGATTCCTCGGTAGTACTATGTGATTCTGTAGTACTAGAAGATTGTGTCGTGATTGATTCTGATGTGGTAGATTGTTGTGTGGTTGTTTGTTCAGACGTGGTAGACTGCTCTGTTGTTGTCTGTGAAGAAGACGAACTCTGTGTGGTTTGTTCTGTAGTCTGCTCAGTGCTACTTGATTGTTGAGTTGTCTGTTCTGTAGTCGCCTGTGAAGACGTTTGACTAGATGTTGTTTGTTCTGATGAAGTTGATTGTTGTGTAGTTGTTTGTTCTGAAGTAGTCGATTGCTCTGTAGTTGATGACTCAGTAGTACTCGATTCTGTACTAGATTGAGATGTTGACGTACTTTGAGTCGAAGTACTTTCTTGAGAGCTTGTGGTCTCTTGTTGTGTTGTGGTAGTACCCTCTGTTGCTGGAGGTGGATTTGCACTTTGAGATTCTGAACCACTACAATCACGTGGAGGATACACTGATTCTTCATGATTACATGTTTCAACAGCTGGATCCCAAATAGTACCCTCACCACATTCGAAATGATAAACGGAGAATCGTTTTCCATCTCCATCCCAGTCTACACATCTATAAAATTTCTTACAGTCATTAGGATTGGCATAGTAACCTGCTCTGTCACACGTAATATTTTGTTTTTGGGGTTTTTTGGAAGAGTTTTCTTGTGAACAATTCGACGAGCTTTGAGAGCTTTCCGTTGTACTTTGAGAAGATGATGACGCCGTAGTCGATGTGGTATCACTTGAAGAAGAAGCTGAAGAAGAACTAGTGCTCGATGATGAACTACCATCTTGCTGTTGATTACAAGAGGGATTAGCAACATCCTGTGGATGATTACAAGTGGTTATATCTTGATCCCAAATTGTACCTTCACCGCAAGTAAAGTCGTACTTTGTATAGCTGCCTTTTCCATTATCTACGCATCTGTAAAACTTTTTGCAATCATGAGAATTTCCGAAGTAGCCTTCACTGTTACAAGTGTCTTTATTAGACGCAGTAGTGTGCTCAAGATCAGATGACGAAGTTGTACTTGAAGATGTTGAGCTTTCAGTTGTCGCGCTAGAACTTGTAGACCCAGCTGTAGTTGGACTTGAAGATGTAGTACTAGAAGCTTCATTAGGACTATTGCTCTCGTCATGCACTGGCTGGGGCTTACAAGATTTCACTTGGTCTATATGATTGCAAGTTTGCACGTCAGAATCCCATGCCGTTCCTTCACCACAAGTAAAATCATATTTCGTGTATCCTCCTTGACCATTATCTACGCATCTGTAAAACTGTCTGCAGTCATTTTCATTTCCATAAAATCCGTCAGATGTACATTGACCACTGCTTGAAGCGGGTGGTGGTTTCTCAGAATTCGGACTATCATATTCATCTTCTTGCTTATCAATTGTTTGAGTTTCAGTCGGCGAACTACTCACCACGTTATTTTCTGTTGTTTGTTGATTACCTTCCGTTGTTACTGGACGACTTGTTGTCTGTGAGCTACAATTTGTATCACCGGTATCGTGATCACAAGCTAATATATCTTGGACCCACACTGTACCATCACCACAAGAGAACTCATATTTTGTATATCCTCCTTTATCATTGTTAACGCATCTTATAAATTTCTTACAATTATTAGGATCTGCGAAGAATCCCTCAGATGAACATTGATAATTACTAGATGAAGATGCAGAAGTTTGCGTCGATTCAGTCGTATGCTGAGTCTGTGACGCTGATGACATTGAACTTTCAGTTACGGAAGCTGGCTGGTTTGCAGTTGATGAAGAGCTAGTAGGTGCAGAGCTATACGAACAATTTTTATTATTCGATTCGTGGTTGCAAGCTTGTATTTCTGGATCCCAAATTGTCCCCTCTCCACAAGTGAAATCATATTTGGTATATCCTCCTTTTCCATTATCTACGCATCTATAAAACATTTTACAATCATTACTATTTCCATAAAATCCCTCTGATTCGCACACATCAGATGAAACTTGAGGTTTTTGACTTTGATTTTCGTTTCTTTCGGTTGTTGTTGAACTGGACATATTGGAAGATTCTGTATAAATCTCATCGTTTTCTGGTTGATGGGTTTGAGTACTTGAACTGCTTTCTTGACCGACACACATTTTGTCAGATGTAGCATGATCACATGATAATATTTCTTGATTCCAATAAGTACCGTCGCCACACGTAAATTCATATTTAGTGTAACCACCACGGCCGTTGTCAACGCATCTATAAAATATCTTGCAATTATTTTTATCGCCAACAAAGCCTTCTTTGGAACATATTTCACTAGAACTACTGTCTGGATGGGCATGTGTTGTTGAAGTACTAGTTTTGTCAGTACTTGGAGGATAACTTATTTCTCCAGTTTCTGTAGTTGAAGATTCCACAGGCTGCTGTGCTGGTGAACTAATGTTACTGAGAGTACCACAATCTTTGACAGCCCATGCATGATTACATGCTTCTATACTTTGATCCCATAAAGTTCCTTCTCCACAATCAAATTCATAGCGGGTATATGCCCCATTACCATTGTCCACACAACGATAAAATTTCTTGCAATTATTCTTATCTCCCATAAAACCACTGCTTACACAGTTATTATTGCTACTTGGTTCTTTTGAACTCTCTGTCGTTGAATGAGTCGTTGTACTTTGAGTAGATGTGTCCAAATCAGTGTCGACATTTGATGGGTAGCCATTACCAATTTCATCACTCATTGTTGGATGTAACTGTGTGCTAGTTTCCTGATGGCTAGGTGATGAAGCTACAAAACTACCACATTCTTTTACTGCCCATGCATGGTTACATGCTTCAATTTTTTGATCCCATACAGTACCTTCACCACAAGAAAATTCATATTTGGTAAATGATCCTTTACCGTTGTCCACACATCTATAAAATTTCTTGCAATCATTTTGATCTCCCATAAACCCGCTATTTTTGCAGTCGTTGCTAATTGCTGGTACTGATCCCATTGAAGTTGAAGTACTGATTGTAGAACTTGGCAGTGGCGTGGACGATATTGTACTGTCTTCGCTTCCAGTCATAGTTGTACCTTCGCTTATAGTTGTTGGCTTAGCTTGAGTTGTAGTTTCTTGATGTCCTTGCGCTGATCCTCCACATTTTTCCACTGCCCAAGCATGATTACACGCTTCAATTTTGGGATCCCATACTGTTCCTTCACCACATGTAAATTCATAACGCGTGAATCCTCCATTACCGTTATCGACACATCTATAAAACTTTTTACAGTCTTTGTGATCACCCATAAAACCACTGAATTGACAAATGTTGCCTGTATTATGGTCTGTGTTTTGTGTCTGCTTCGTCGTAGTCGTCTTTGAAGTTGATGAAGTCATTACATCGTTGTTATTTTGCCCATAACCGGTATCATAATCATCATTTTGTGTTGCAGGTATTTCACTGGTTGACTGGGTAACTGCAGTAGTTAGAGTACTAGTTGTAAACTGTGTATTTTGCTTTTCAGTCGTGGTTTTTGTTTGGTTTATATCGGAAGACGAACTACCACCACATCGTTTCACAGCCCAAGCGTGGTTACATGCATCTAAATCAGGATCCCAAACTGTACCCTCACCGCACTTAAACTCATATTTCGTAAAACCACCTTTACCATTTTCGACACATCTGTAAAATACTTTACAGTCATTGGGGTCGCCCATAAATCCACTAAACTGACAATTTCCATTGGGAGGTGGTTTTGCAGTAGTTAAAGCAGACGTAGAAGTTGTTGAACTTAACGTTGTTGAAGAAGATGAAGTCGGACTTTGATTTTGTTGCCCATAACCACTGTCTTCGTAATCCTGTGTTACAAATTCGGAAGTAGTCTGAAGAGGAACTGATGCTGTTGTGTGATAATTTTGTGTTGACTGAGAAGTACTTATAGCAACTTGTGTAGTACCAGTAGTTACAGAAGATCCCTTTCCTCCACATTCCTTAACAGCCCATGCATGATTGCAAGCTTCAATAGTTTGATCCCAGACTGTGCCTTCACCACACGAAAACTCGAATTTTGTATATCCACCTCTCCCATTATCTATACACCTATAAAACTTTTTGCAGTCGTTGGCATCCCCCATAAAACCGGATCGTTCACATGTATTGCCCACATTACTCGGAGAAGATTGGGTGTTTGTTGACGGTCCATTTGTAGTTGATTCATGAATCTGTGTTTGTGATGGACTTGACTGTTGAGAATGATCAATCTGTAACTGTGTTTGTACACCTTTGTCACTATAATCAATTTGAGTCTGTGTTTGGCTGATAGCTGACCCATGGCTTATTTGCGCCTGATTTTGTTCAGCTTTCGCGGCCTTGTTTTGATTTAAACGATCCCCAAAGTTTATTTGAGTTTGATTTTGTATCACAGATCCGTTACTTATTTGTGTTTGAGTCTGCGTAACTTTGGAACCATAACTTGTTTGTAATTGTTGTTGTATAGTTTTTTCTGTTGTTTTATCTGTTTGTGCAATTTCAGTAGTTCTTGTTGCCACGTGGTTGTTCTGATTGCTTCTGCCACATCTGCTTCGTTTTACTGCCCAAGCATGGTTGCAGCTTTGTGTGTCATCATCCCATACTGTTGATTCGCTACATGAAAACTCAAATCTGGTATAAGTTCCTCTTTGGTTAGCTACACATCTGTAAAACTTGCGACAGTTTTCACTGTCGCCCATAAATCCGTCTGAAGTACAAATATTATCCTGAGAATTATACTGAGGTGCCGTGACCGTAGTTGACTGAGAAACCCATTTTGGTACTTCCGTGTACGATGTTTTTTGAGTTGCTGTACTTTGTGCCAAAATCATTGAATTACTAGTAGTAGTAGTGTGACCTACAGTTGATTCCCATGGATATGAATTCGTAAATAATGAAGGAATTTCTGATGCTTGCCGTTTAGTAGCGGTACTCATCGTGGAACTAGACGCTGTCCATAGTTTTGAAGTTGTGGATGTGAGCTTAACAGTCGGCGGCGAAGAGGCTACTATTGGAATATTGGTAATTGGGGAAGGTATCTCATTTTGCTCTCTCTCAATTTCGTTATTATTTACTCGATCAACTGGCGCTGCAGGAAGTAAACCACCGCATTCTGTTCGTCTTGTGCTTCGAGGATGATTGCAAACTTCAGTTTCTGGATCATAAACTGTACCAGGACCGCATTGAAACTGAAATTCATATTTTATATTTATTAGTAAGTATTTCAACCAAACATCGTTAGATTTTTCTCAATTAAACAATTAATTGTAAGCTTGTTACCCTGAAAACAGTAAATTTTCCGTTTCCTGACTTCATGCAGCGGTAGAACACAGCACAGTCGCGGGGATCTGCTTGGAAACCTTCACCAGCACATAATACAGGCTCTGGTCTTGTACCCGAGTATACTTTCACAATTCTGCCAGTGACACGAGACTGTCGACGTTCCGGTAAAGTACCTGCAGTGAAAAATGGTAATGGTTTATTTGGAGTAGTTTTGAGGGTCGGCTTCACCATTTATCAAATTATAAAAGAAAAAACAAATTGAAAGTAGTGATTTACGTGGACTTATCGTCATTATTGACCGCTGCAACAACCAACCACCCCTATCACTCCTTTTTCATTTCTGTTATTAGATTTGTGCAAGGGGCAAGCATGCTACACCTTTAAGCCACGATTTGCAGTACAAACAACTAAGAAAACGAAACACTGAAGTCCGGCACGACCTAGAAACATAGATAACTGTCGTGGACCCCTCAATGAAATAAATCTAAGAAAAACTAAATAGTTTCCACTTCCCTTAGTAAATTTATAGAAGGTGACGAAATGACTTAAGCCTGAAAGGTAGAAAAGTAGCTGCAAAACTAACTAAAATTGTATAATTCGGTTTAACTAATTTAGATACAAACCATTGTTATTTTCCGTCGCTTCAACAATTAGTAAGACAAGGACTAATGTATAAAATGTACAAAATCTTCTTAATGTATTGTCCATTGTGGCTTTTTGCTCCGGTTATAAATTGCATGACATTTTCGAATTCGGTATCTGAAACAAGAAAAACAATGTGTTATAACGTTATAACCTTACTTTACTGAATATCAGCGTTTTGACATACCAGTAAACCATCCCTGAATCTAAAATATCTAGATGGCACCCAAAGTTAAACTTTTGTTTTTATTTTTTGTTTGACGGCCATATGTGCCTAAAATAAATTATAGTGGTCTGTTTGAAATAAATGATTTTACTTTTCATGTGAAATGCCATTAGAACATAAAAAATGTGTAAAGTTACTACTTTGTTGTCTAGATGTAAGTACATATACTTGGATTTTACCATTACCAATACTGGGAGTTGTGAGGAAGAGAAGGCGATGTGCTGTGACACGTTCGGCTGTGGAAAAGCTCGGGAAGGTTTGAAAGGATACACGCATAACCAAATATACCAAGGTTCGAGTGATGCAATGCTTGGTTTTTCCCATCTTTCTCTACGGGCTGAAACATGGACGATTCGTCAAAGGCATCGCGGCAGAATGGCTGGAAATGTGTTGCTGGAAACGACTACTGAGGATAAGCAGGACTGAGCACCGCACCAATGTCTCCATATTAAAAGAGCTTCGCATCAAACAAAAACTTTCTTCGATTGTGCAAGCAAGAGCTCTTAAAATAGCCATATTATTCGAAGCGAAGACTCAATGGAACGATTGGGGGTGTAAGGGAGAGTAGAGAGTCAGCGGCCTCGTGGCTGGTCACTAACTAGATGGACGGGCATTATAAAATCAGTGACATCCAGCTCAATTGTGGAGTGCGCGAGGAATACCACTAACAGAAAAAAGTGACCAAGGACATACCATGGCCACTACCACTCTGACAAGAGTTTACGATTCAAACGAACTACTTTGTTCTTTCAATTTTGCATTATAATGCATAAAGTTTGGTCACTCATAATATATCATTATTAGAATCGTTGATGAGTCTAATTCTACCGATAAACTTATTTGAAATTACGTTCTACATTCTATATCTGGTACATAGCGGCTATTTAGGCATTGTGAAGCAGGCCTATTATTAGACGTTTGGTGTTTAGTGGAATAAAATTCTTCAATTCTGAATAAAATAACACCGAAATAAGAAACCATCAAAAGAGACAACAAAACGAGTGGTATAATAGATAATGTTTCGTATCGGCGGGAAAAATTAATCAGATTTAATATGCGCGCATCGGCCATAAACTAAAAAAATAGTTTCTTTTTTTTTGGCTTTTCGCGGATAGCATTTTGGCGTAAACGTAACTCAACCAAAATTAAATGTTGTATAACATTTCAATTGTCAGATAAATGTTATCTGAGGAATAAAATAGTTGCTGTCACTGTCTTCTACTAAACACCCTGACGCGACAGCATCATAATTATTCCCCATGATGGGGATGAGCTGATTTTTCAATGGTTAGATTAAAAAGGTAACTTTTATTTTCAATGGTTTGATAAAAGTTACCACTTTTCAGTTTATTCTTTTATTTCAAAAATATAACTTGACTAAGGGCTAGTATATATTAAAAAAAAATCAATTGAAAAATTAGCCCTTAGCCAAGTTATATTTTTGAAATAAAAGAAAAAATTTAATTGATAGATGAATTTATTTACATACAACATAATTACGAGTCTTAAATACTTTTACCACCTCTACATACTCATATAAAGGATCTATTTTACCTATGCATAAACATTTTTTTTGAGTTTTTAGAACATAAAATCCTTTGTTGTTACTTCGTGTCTATGCAAGACAATTCAGGAAATGATGACTAATTTTAAATAGTAAACAAAGTGGTTTTACCACGTTAAATACATATGACTTATTTATAAAAAATAAATATCAATATGAATCATAACATCAAATCGACATATAGTATGTAGCTGTGTGAGTACGTGTTATTTTAATTGAATAGGTAGCATTTGTTTTATTTTGTACTATTGAGAATGTAGGTATGTAATACGTGTGTAGTTAGATATCACGCATTCGTTATATATGCAAAGACAGGCGATTATATTAATGTTTAAGAAAATAAATTAAAATTAAACCTTACTTAACACTTAGAACGCCATGTCGGACAATGCTGTCTGATGCTAGCGGAGGATTAGCCTTCAACAATTTTTGTCGGCAGTCAAATGCTTAATAATAATGTAAATTTGAAAGTCATTTATTTGTTTATCTTCCTTTGACGAACGTTTTCGTGGTATAATTTTTGTATCTGGAATAGAACAAAATTCATACCATACGTACGTCTGAATAAGGGCTTCTATGCTATTTTGGCCATAGGTGATAAAACTTTTTTATGAATAAAACAATTAAAAATGGAGTTTAATATTTTTTTTATTTATACACAACAGAATTCTACATAATATCCGCTTAGTAGACAAAGACCTATACGTTATTTATTTTTGATTTGGCTGAGCAATTACTCATTGATTGCTACGAGTATAACGTTTGATAAAAAATATTATTTAGTATAACTATAAATATAAAAACCGTAAGATAATTACACAGTAGAACTCTACCATATAACTGTAATTTAAAATTTATTCATACAACGAGCCAAAATAAGTAGTGATACTGCATTCAATTTTAATTTGATGGTACCTAACATTTATGAAAGCAAGTATATTATTAAACAAGATCTTAATAGCGGCTAATCTCAAATATATTTACCGAGGATTTTTTGTATGAAGACCTAACAAAAAAGTCGTAAAAGTATCACGCTACGCTAGCGAGGCTAGCACCAGTATTCATTCGCCAAGAATTCCCAACGATTCCTCGGGCATTTTTCTAAAGGTCATATGTGAATAGCCAAGTAGCCTTCATAAGAACAAATTGATCGTGGTACTGAAGTTCGTTGGCACTAATAATTACAACTCTCGGGTTGTTGAAAATAAGGCAAAACGATGATACGTCGGGGGCAAGTTTCTTTTTATACAGCGTTGGGCACTGTCATTACGCACTCGGTATGACGCGAGTTATGCAAAGCAAATGAGCTGAATAATCAAGTGTGGTAACAAAAAAAATGTAGTCTAAAACAAGTAAAAATAAACAACCCACCCAGGGGTGCTCAGGAATACAAATATATCACGTTACGTTGGTATTTTCTCGAAATATAATTGACCTATATCAATCAACGAGTACTCTCCGGATAAGATTAACAAGCGCAAACCAATAAACTTTTACTTTCAATTGCTTGTTAAATTGCCTCAGTTGTTTAAGCAACCGGTGCCAATAGTTTATTACAGAGTATTGAAGGGCGCAATATAAAACTGGTTTGTAGAAGATTCCCTTTCCAGCAGTTGTGGTGGAACAGCATTCTTGCGGTTGCACCTCGATTGAGTCCCGATATTAACGTCTAGAATAGTGGATAGTCTAGTGCAAACTTTGTACGTTTATCTACCTTTAAATGTGAGACAAAAGTTCTGTAAGTTGTAAACTTGTAGATTCACGTTATGTTATTTTCCCAGTTTATACGACGTTTTGTTTAGTAAAACATGTGGTCCCACATGATGTGTGATCGTTGTCTAGGGTTTACTAGTATGTGTTCACAAAATCAAATTCTATATTTTTTTAATGAAACCAGCTTCAGGATGAAAATGATCAACATCGCATAACATTCGATCATTGTCTTACCACTGCAATAATAGTGCAATTAAGCATTACTCTGCATTGAGCAAACCTTGATACCGGTGTTGCCTCAGCCAGACAGAAGTAGGAGAAGCTGCGAGGTTGTTTTATAGTCAGTCAGAGTCTGATACCTCGCCACCCAGGGAGGAAGAAGACATTAGATTATATACCTCCTTCGAATAAAGTAATAAAGTGGACCATTATATTTTTTGTAATTATTTAACAGGCTTGCAAATATAGATCAGTTTTGCTGATTTAAGGTAACCTTACAAATGTTCCTGTTTATAAAAAGACATTTACAATGTTATTTTAAATCAGCGAAACTTTTGTTATAGATTCAAACAGAAACCACATTGCTGCAGTACACAAACTTACGAACAAAACACGTGTACAATTCGTGGGATACAAGATTAACGCCAGTTTTGCGGTCGACAACCATCCCATCGCCATCTTGTGGTTATTGTGCAAAAAAGGGAGCGTGTTTCATCGATTTCCTTTATTATTTCCACAATATTGTAGAACAGGGATAGCAAACCTCTGGCTCGCGTGCAATATAAAAAAATAGAACGTGCTTAATATATCTCAAAGTTTTTGTTTTACGTTAAGACGATCGACATGTATTTGACTTTGGGTATTTTGATTGTCCTAATCCAAATTAACTTACCAATTAGACGATACATCATATACACATCATCAGCCTATACGTGCCCACGGAGAAGGTTTGAGCATTAATCACCACGCTTGTTTAAGGCGGATTGGCGATTTCAAACTTATGATTAGAAATTATAAGTCCAAGTTTCGTCACGATGTTTTTATTCGCCTTTGGTATGTGGTGTCTAAATTAACTAAGAAAGTACC